GATTGTATGTTAGTTTTGTTAAACTACGTATTTGTCTCCATCAATTTCTTTTTACCTCCCACTTCCACAATATACTAAGAACTACTTTATTTCCAGATCAACCAGGAAGCAACCACACCAACGAAAGCAGCAGTCCTCGTACTCCCACCCAAAAATCCAGCAGCCACTCCCACCGCAGCCACTACTCCCCGATCACCATACCCCAAGCTTCATCAGAAGGTCTCAATTTCCCCCCCGCTGAGGCTAACCGCGCGTACACCAGTTCTGCCTGCTTCATCCACGACATTGCATCTGGTAACGAAATTCTCATCTGGGGGGACGTAGAACCCGATGTACTTTCTTTATTCCCACGCAATAAACAAGTATGGCAAGACGCCGCTCCCAAAATCGCCGCTGGAATACTCAAGGGTATTTTTATCGAGTGTTCGTATGACGACAGTAGACCAGATGATTTATTATTTGGACACTTAACACCGCGCTACGTCGTTGAAGAATTAAAGGTTCTCGCCGCCGAAACGGAAAAATGTCGCGAGGATCTGCGGAGACGTGGGAGCGATCGTGCTTTGAGCAATTCTTCTCCCACGGCTAGTTTGGATACGCTGAGGAAATCGATCCCGACAAGGGAGAAAGAGAAGAAATCTCAACCGCCGCTAGCTACTTCGGCTAATTATATCTCTTTACACCGGAGAGCCTTCGGTCTGGGTGTCTTGAAGGGTGTTAAGATTATACTTATTCATGTCAAGGATAAGTTGGATGATAAAGAGGATCCGAGGGTGAAGATATTGAAGGAGTTGCGGGAATATGAAGAGGAACTTAACTTTGGGTGTGATTTTGTGGTTAGCGAGAAGGGGATGAGTGTTTTCCTGTAGTGTGCGTTTGGTCTTGGACTGTTATTCTAGGGAGTGAATGAGGCTGGGCGTTTCAGGGCGGGATGGTTGGTTGGTTGATTGCTTGCTTCAAGTATGTATTTTTTGCCTGGTGGGAAGGTAGTACCCTTGTGTATCTTGGTTGGATGCTTTTTTATGGGAGAACATTTCATTAAAGGACGGTTAGGTCGCTTAAATTTCTTGCGAGTCTCAAGACAAGGTATATAGGTGTGAAGATTTTGCAACAGAGTATGCGTTTGCAACTTGCGCAGCGTGGTTTCTATATACAATCGGTCTGATATATAAATACATGATTTCTTGCTTGATATTCTATTTTTCTCTCATGAACCACCAACAGTCTATAGCCCCACCCTCTCAACATCCATGTATAAGCGAATCATTGGTCTTCAAGCTTAGGCTTCACCAATTTCTTCGCCTCCTCATCTTTTCCAACCGCAGTATCATAATCCGGTCTGGGAATTTCTGCTCCATCTACGGTTCTCCCATAAGTAATCCCTCCCAATCTTGAGATTGGTTTTAGGACTGCGGGATCAACAATATTCTTCTCTTCATTAATAGCATTTTCCCTTACCCAAAATCTGGTTCCCTCGATAATTGCCAAAACTCCCGTCTTCTTGCCTGGCGTCGCTTTACTCTCAAATTCCTTCAAACTCTCTAGTTTTCCCTCGACACTGAAATGTGATTCTAGTACTCTACTCGTCTTGACAGTCGTACAAGGGGCGGGTGTAAGTCCACTAAACGCCCATTCCGATTCGCCATACGGTGCATTAATCGAAGTCGAGTTTGCCGCTTCGATGAAATGTTCAGAGATGATATTGATGGTGCATTCACCCGTCTCTTTGAGATTCCTCAACGAATCTTTCGCATTGTCTAATCCTCCTGTATACCCCAATGTGAAAAGTGGGGGATCGTGGTTAATCATGTTGAAGTAGCTGAACGGGGCTAGATTTGTCGATTTCCCATCCGCGCTACGAGTACTGACGAATCCAATGGGACGCGGAATGATGGAGGAAATCATCAACTTGTAGTTGTAGACTGCGGGACGACCTTCTTCATAGGGATCGATTTCGATATGTGGGACCTTGAGAGATTCGCCGTTGTCGTTGGCGCCGGAACCGAGTTTCCAGGAAGGAGAAACGGTTTGCGTTACATTCCAAGACCGGGACGCGTCCCATGGTGAACGAGATGCTTCGACGGCTTTGAAATCGCGGTGCGGGTTGCGGTTTATGAGCTTTTCGGCATCGGCACGTTGTTGGGTTGTGGAGGACATGGTTGCTGAAGGATGGAGATTGGAGATGGAGATGGATTTTGTGGTTGAGAGGCAGTGATTGGGGTTTGATTGCAGCGAGGGACTTGTTGATGTGAGGTACAATTAGTAAATGAACTAAATAGCGGGGAGATACTACAGAGAACGCTGTCAAAAGTGGATGAAGATCTGCGTACGTACCGTATTGAAGTTTTGAATACTTGCCTGACTTGCAATCTCCTAAGTGACATTGACGATGGGTACTGGATTTAGTACGAGGGAAACACACAATATATATCTGCAACGCAAACTTGGAGAATACCCGGTATGGGGTTTGTAAAACCGATGCAAATAATTGTGACTGTGGTTCCGCCACCATATTTCGTCACAGCGGCTTTCATTCCGCTTTGAGAAGTTGTGGAGATTTAGCTGATAAGGTTGATGACCCCGCAATGATAAGAGGAGGGAGGAATGGAGGGAGAAGCTCGGGAAGCTATGAATCGGGAAGGGAAGGAATGTATTAGCAAGGCTAGAATCGGTCGATTACTTTACTATTGATAGATGGGGTAATCTAGTTACATAAAGACCATTATGAAGAGGATGAGATAATCTTCAACTTATTTATTCTTGAAGCTATTCAGAGAACGACAGTAAGGTTAAACGCCGAACATTTGAAATCAATAGTCAATTGGTCAGCCCCGCCCTATTCCTGACAAATTCGATTTGACTTTGTATCTGTCGATATATCTACTTATCTACTCGTCGGCCATCACAAGTATATCTGAGAGCTGCTTGGAAGCTGATAAAGCATTAAAGGCAAAGAAAATCATCCAAACCCAAGCAAACACAGTAGACAACACAAGAAGCTTGATAAAATGGATTCTCTACCTTCTCAACTCTCTTCCCTCAAATTAGCACCCGGTGTTCAAAGATACTCTCTTGGGGATTGGAAGCTTCAATCTGGCCAAGAAATTCCTGATGCTCATATTGCATTCAAGACATTTGGAGACCCAAGTTTCCCTGCTATCATCTATCCTTCTTGGTTTTCCGGAGGTGAGTATTGAAACTGGCGCTATTCACCTATATTTCTCCATGATACTATCTTTGGAGTTTAAATCCATGTTAAAAGGGAAGATATAAAAAGTGTTTTAATGCTGAAAGTAAATAGCAATCGCGGACAACGAGTGGCTCATCGGAGAAGACCAAGTATTGAATCCCCAAAAATACTTCATAATCATCACCGCCCTTTTCGGAAACGGAGAATCAACCGTGAGTCTCTCCTCCTCATTTTCCATTCTGCTTCCCCCACTCCCTCGGATCCTCAATACTGACATGATAGAAGTCTCCATCCAATTCCTCCATCTCTCCTTTCCCAAAAGTAACTTTCTATGACAACGTCCGCGCTCAACATACCCTCGTGACCTCCCATCTCCAAATCACCCATGCACGCGCTGTGATCGGTTGGTCCATGGGCGCAGGTCAAACTTATCAATGGGCCACCATGTATCCCTCATTCATGGATATCTGCATTCCCTTTTGCGGATCTGCAAAAACAGCTCTTCACAACCAGGTCTTTTTGGAAGGTGTTAAATCTGCATTGTTAGCTGCCAAGAGTCTTTCAAGCGCGGGATCCAAGGAAGGTGTTGCTGTGAAAGGAGAGGGAGGAGATGAAGCGAGAGTTTGGAGTCAAGAGGAAAGGGAGGTGGGATTGAAGGCTTTTGGGAGGGGGTATGCTGGATGGGGATTTAGTCAGGTGAGTTGATATTGGTAATACAGTGGATGGAATTACAGTGTGATTTGACTGTAAGAGCACACTAATCCTATTTTAGGCTTTTTACAGAAAGGAACTCTTCAAGACCGTTCTGGGATTCAAAGATCTAGAAGATTTCATGCAAAATTTCTGGGAGAAGTGGGCCCTTTCAAAAGGTACTTTCTATCAATTCTCTTTCTCATCCCTCCTTCTCACTACCCCCCATTCCCACCCAATTTGTCAAACCCCTCCTCCTCTTTCAATCTAACACTTCTCCAAAAAAAAAACAGATCCAGAAAACCTCCTAACCATGCTCCACACCTGGGCCTCAGGCGACGTCTCCAACCAATCTCCCTACAATGGCGATTTCGCCGCTGCAATGGGAGCTATCAAAGCCCAGATGCTTGTTCTGCCCGGAAAGACTGATCTGTATTTCCCGTATGTATATTCTCTTTCTTTTAATTTCCTCCCCCTCCCCCTCCCTCTATCTACTCTCCCCCTTCTCCTCGCCCAACAAACCACACTGACACCCCCCCCAGACCCGAAGACTCTGAAATAGAAGTCTCCCTCATGCGCCCCGGCATCGGCAAACTCGATGTGTTCCCTAGCATATGGGGACATTGGGCCGGAGGGCCAGGTGATTCAAAGGAAGATGTTAAGTGGCTCAATGAGAGGTTGGTTGAGATTGGTTTGTGAATTTTGTTCTCCTCTGGGAAAGTATAGGGAGAGGGTGGATCTATTTACTTATGAGGGTTTGGGGGGACACGGGAAGGGAGGTCAATTGTTTAGCGGAGCAAGCGGTGTGGACTTTAGCATGGCAATGGATTTTCGCATGATGTTTAATGTTGAATGGATGTGATTGTGAGGATGAGATTCTATCAATATGACAAGTTTCTATGCTGAATGATCATTATATGTACCTAAGTATGAGTATATCTGTGTTTGAAATTCCGCGACTGTGTACTGTGTACCATATCTCCTAAACTGAAGAACCGAGTACCAAACGCCGAGCACCGGGCGCCCTCAGCTCATCCATCCTGGAAATGCTATTCCAGATTTATCCGTTTATCCATCCATCCATCCATCGCGTCCACTCTCTCCTCTTAATTTCCACACTTCACTCATTTGCTAAAACTTCTCCCTTTCTATCCCCTACCACTGGTATAACAACCGGCTTCTCACTGTCCACACTAACCCTAGCACCCTCTCCCGCAATCTTACTCCCCATACCCAACCCGCTCTTCGCACCAACACCACCCCTCTGACTGCCACTCGCACTCCCCATACTACTTCCTCTCTTCCTCCCCGCTCCCTTCAAGTTTCCCGTCAACTCTTCTCTCACCTCCCTCAAAACTTCCTCTCCGGGTATTCCCAATCTCCCCATCCTTCCCACTAAGAGTGTATTTTCTCTCTGTACACTACCCACTTGATCTCTCAGAACCTCTCTTTCCCTCTTCAATACTTCAATCTCCGCCCTCAAACTGGCATTAATCTGTTGCAACTCCTCTCCCTTTTCCTTTTCTTCTCTCTTCTTCTTTTTCTCCTCTTGTTTCTGTTCCTCCCTCAATCTTCTCCTCTCCAATTTCTCCATTTCCTTCTTATGTTTCTCTTCTATCTTCTTGACCTCTCTCTCATGTTTCTCTTCCGCTTTACGAATTGCTTCTTTCTCTTTCTCACCATCTTCACTTTTCTTATCCGCTTCTTTTTGTTTCGCTTTCTCCAATTTTTCGTAAAGTTTTCGTTTCTTATCCTCGAGTTTCTGGAGCTCTTTATCCTGTTGTAAATTTACCTTTTCAACTGCAGCTGAATCTTGTGATGATACTTTTCGGAAGGACAGAGCTGATTCAAAACTATCGACGGTGGATTCACTAGAAATAGATGAGGTGGATAATGATCGAGAGCGAGTAATGGGAGCGGAAGTTTGAGCAGAAGTTTGTTCGCTAGTAAGTTGTAGAGGACCGGGGTTTTGAGCTGAGGGAGATTCAGTGGCATGAGGGAGACGATCCGCAATCATTGCTGGTGCATATGGAGCGATTAAAGCACCGGCCGTAGTTGCTACTCCTGCTACCATGTCGTATATTCCACCACCATTTGCGGGTGGCTGCTGTTGTGTCGGCACTGTAGACCTTGCAGCCACAGGTGTAGACTTTTCTCCGTGACTATCTATACCCGCAAGATGACCGTTGGTTTGGTAATTATGTAGATCTTTTTCGTGATTATGGTGATGGCGATGCCGATGTTCACGTTTTTCCGGCCTCGCTGTGTCATTTTCTCCAACAAGTTCTCCAGCAGGTTCATCATCATCACTATCCAAATCCTCGATTGTTTTCGAACATGCCCAGTCCAAGAATTTACCTGCATCCGAAACAATAGCCGATGGTGTTCCACGATCAATCATAAATCGTGGTATACCCCCACCAGGATCACTTCTGGTAACCATAATCCACTCAATGGGATTTTGTTCCCATTCATCATCCTCACTTGGTACAGACGACTTCTCCTCCTTTATAGCTTGAGCCAGATTACTATCAGAACGTGAAGCTTGTTTATGAATTTCCTCTCTTTCTTCCTCTGTACTGGATGAATCATGCTTTTGATGAGCATTCCTTAAAACGGCCTCCTTGCCTAAATTTGAAGCGGACCCATCTCTTGCATGTCCCTTTGTAAGATCAGATGAAGATGCTGATTTCCTGGGAGGCGGTTTGTTAATTGGGATTTCTCGAATAAATTCAACAGATTCATAATATCCTCTTATATATCCATCACGCGATGGAGTATCTGGATGTTGACATGGTCTCGATATTACCATGAAATGGCGGGGTATTTCGTTGTTATTTTGTTCTTTAAGCGCTTGATCTGAGGAAATGAACATGGTGACAAAATCTCTCGGGGTGGTTGGTCCTGGAAATTGTGCTGATAGGAGATATACTGGTATTCATTAGACCGTTGTCCTTCATCCCAAATTATTATAAACATACCTTCCATTTTCCCAGCCCCAGCAACATTGTTATACGCTACCCTCTTCTCTCCACCAATACCTCTAATATTACCTTCACCTGGACCCCCCTGAACCTTTAGGGTTTCTGGAAATTCCCTCTCTAAACCTCTCTTCCATTTTGTAAATCCTAGTCCCTCATGTACACTCCTCCTCGCAAACCAAGTGCCCTTTCCATCCTTTCCCTTACAAGAATATACACTTATACCCAGTGGATTATCAGCCGGTTTTAGTTTTATTTGTTTCCACTCCTTCTGAAGAGATTCGATATCGTGAGGTGGGGGCGGAGATCTAGCATTGGATGCGGAGATTTCGGATGCTGAGGATGCAACTGAGAATGTTGTGTTCGATCGCGGACGACTGTTGGAAGATTCAATAATGTCGGGTATGGGGACTGAATCGATTATCAATTGAGCGCTGTTGAATGCATCTGATAGAAATGGTTTTAAATTATCAGTAGGGGTATCGTCGTACTTCACAGCGCCCAGCGATTTGAGAGCTTCATGAAGAGCTGACATTTCGTCTGCTGTTTGGATTCTTTGTTTCTTCAACCCAGAATGAAACGTGTAACCTCTGCATCCGACACAAGGCTATGGATATATGGAGATGTAGACACGAAAGCTGAAAATGCTGCTGAAGGATTCTAGACAATATGTGGAATGAGTCTCGAGAGTCGTGGAGGGTTGGAATATATTATGTATGCGATCAAGTTCAATGAGTAGCGACACAGTGATAAGCAAGATGCATCAGGAGGCACATGGGATTTTGAGATTTGAATAGATTAAGTAAATGGTATTTAACAAAGGATGTAAGATTACCAGGGATGGGGGAGTAGGTATATGTAAGTAGGTATTTCATAAAATTCTGGAGGCATCTGGATTCCGGATGGATTTACTATTTGCCCCCTTTCAAGTTAGCATTCAATTACCTAGTATGTATAAAATTAATACGCCAGCATCAATACATCATGAAATAAAGCAGAGTATCAATAAAAACTACCTGTCTAATAAGTAGCACTAATATTTATTCATCTACTCGTACTGGTGTACGATATCGTAAAGTATTGAGGTGGTGCGGGGTTATCGTAAATACAAATCATTTACAAATTACAATATGATTGGTCTAGCTCTTCATTATTTGAGTAGAAACTAGATTTCTATCTCATGTAGAACGCTTGACGTCATATTTCAAGCACAGACAATGAAATAGATAAAAATCCATGAATACGTGAATACGTGAATACGTCAGTACGCGGAAATTCAAGTGTCGACGAGTTTGGAACTTTGGATGAGAGTTCCGAAATGGAAATTAACACGGAATTTTACATTAAAAGGGGGAAAACCTCCACCACTCCGGAAAGAAAAGTGGTCAAATGGTTGATTGCATCCGATGTTTGTGAACGAGAATCTTGCTTGGAGTAAATATGATATATGAAAGTCTTGGAGGATTATTTGTTATGTATTGTTCATTTATGTACCAGTAAAAATAGTGAGTAAGAGTGACTACTTTTACCATACCATAAAATCCATCCTTGGCTATGCAAAAAATTGGACTCTATCCATCCACCAAAACCCAATGTTCTTGTACCCAACGCCTTGCTCAATAGATATGCTGCCGATAAGACTAATTAGGTAAATAATGATGCCAAAGATATCGCAGTGTAGATACATATTTGCTGCTCTCAACCGAATGTTACACCCTCCTCTCCTTGCGTGAGCAAGTCCTGTTCTGCTTTACAGCTACCACAATACTCCTGATGCCACTTTCTGAGTTCATTCATATTGTCATCCACCTGTAGAACTTGCTGACTTGGACCTCCCTTGGCTTTAATACTTGATAGACTATTTGTCTGGTTCTCTCGCAACATCATGTGAGCTTGTTTGCATCTCATGTTCTCATCCAGGAGCCAATTCTCCCATTCTGCTTTGAGCACATTTCTCTCGATATTGTTGACCACTCTCATGGCGATCATTAGATCGTATCTGTACGAGCCCAGATGCTGACGGGTTCTTCGAAGTCTCTTAGCTGTTGATTTTGTTGATGTTTTGGTGAATGGTGACCCCGCCATCTCATAAGGAGCGTTCAGATCCGTAACGTTGGCAATTTCCATAAATTGCGAGTAGCTGTTGAATCATATTAGCATATTTTCAAAGGTTTGGGAGATGGTGGATATCTACCATTTGCTTTCATGGTGACTCTGGACTCCCGTCGATAGGTTATTCACAGCTTCGTCAAGATCTTTCAAATAAATTGCTTTGCTCATGCTTGGATTAGGACCAACTCCCATTCGACTCATGAACTTTGCTGCATTTCGTTCTGTCCACCATTCTGATGTATCGCGCCCAGTAAGGAATGCGTTTACCAAAATGCTCATTATCAGTGCAGTTAAAATGATAGTGTGGGCACTGGATATTTTCCATATGGATCGGAATACCGCGAACGTCCACATCATCACCGATGATATACAACTCTCACCAAACGAGCTGATTGTCTCGAGCAACATATTTGTGAGTGTACGTTGCTTAATTTGTGGTCGTTTTGACTTGCTTGCGTCGTTGGCCGAAAAAAGTGAGACTGTTTTTTGGTGTCCTACATGCCCGTAAATGTGAATGGCCTTCTTTGTCCTGCTGTTGGGTCCCAACTTTCGAACTTGATCAGCAATAACGTCGGCCAAATCTTCAGCATCCATTGCACAATCATCAAGAGCCTGCCTCTCAACTAAACCTTTTCCGATTTTGGGAGATTTTGACCATTCAACCTTCGTATAGATTGCCAATTTGCACTTTGATTTGGCGACATGTGTAATAACAATCTTTGAGACCAGCATAAAATCCTGAAAATGAGGTAGATGCCACGGGGTCTTGGAATCCGTAACAACATAACATACATGGTCGTTCATGATATCAATAATTTGATGATCAACAACGTTTGCTTGTCGTGATCTTCGCCAGGAATCAACGTAGTCAATTTGAAATTCGAAATCTCGACGCATGTGGTTACCATCAAGATGAATCCATGGACCTTGAGCAATCTTTTGTGCTCTCCGTTCATGGTAAAGTAGTTGAAACACTGCACTTTTGTCGCCAAACATGAGGTGGAAAAGGGCCTTTGGACTGATACCAAATTCTCGCTCGACCGTCTTTCGTTGCATATCCGGTGGCTCGTAGATAACAGGCTGAGAAGGAAGTTGGAATTTCTGCACTTCCTTCCCTTTTCTATTGAAATTGAGTCCACGCTCAACATGCAATGAGGCTCTGAGATCACGATCTTTACGACTGTGAGTACGACCCGAGATCGTTCCATCATCGATTGGTGTATTAACATCAACATCCTCCCAACTTTCCATGCTAGGACTTCTAGTAGGGTCTTCATGCTCCATTTTAATTAGTGCAGTCATGATATCTTCTAAACTCATCGGATTTTCGGCTTGATTTATATCAACCAAGAAATTCAGTCTTGATTGAAGCAATCGAAGAGGCTCAAGGAATGTTTTGATGGTGATCCTAGTAAATCCTGTATCAGGTGAAGTATCGAGGAGATGTAGGAATAGGAAGTCACAATCTCTGCCTGGAGCAGCTGTAACCTCACTGATACTAGCTAACTTAACGCCAGTTATCAATACAAGTCCTAAATGATGGCTGTAAAAGTATATATCTTTTTGAGTGACGTAAACCCTTCCAGGAAAATCATGCTGCTCATTTGGATTCCAAGTCGCGCGAAAGACAAGTATAACTTTGTCCTCTCGTGGAACATTTGGAAATAGCATTCGGAATTGTGCATCTTGAGTTTTCAGCTGGATTGGGTAATTGCTAGGATATACTTCTGGTTTGGATGCAGATTGATTCACTGCACGCGCAACCTCAATATCGATACTAGCACTGGCGGCTTTTCGGTGAACCATGGGTGAGGAAACTGGGGTTGCTAAAGAATCAGTCAATGGACTAATGGGGCTCTTTGCAGACCCAAGTCCATTATCGGGTTTTAAGTTCTCGTCCGTACCTATCTTTGGAGATGGTTCCAACGGCTTTATACGTGGGCTACCAGGTGCCGAGCGAGATCCTGAGCTTGGAGTTTTGATTTCTCCCTTCTCAAGGCGATTGATGTATCCCCAATTGCTACTGCCCCATAGATTGGCCATTATACCACTAGGCATTCCTCCACTAGCGTCACTCTGACCAAGACCAATTCCACGCTCTCCGCTAACGATCACTGCCGATTTGCTCAAGTTTGTAGGAGCTGGCGGGTTTATGAGTGTTGATGGCGCCAATGTACTTGCAGTATAATCTTGAGTTGGTGACTGGAGGGTAATTTGTGGATTGGGAAGGTTATTTGTAGAGGTTGAAGGTGCAGAGATTGGAAGAATCGTATGACTAGCTGATATCAAACTAGCGATACCACCCGATGCAGGTTGAGATGCACTTGGAGGTTCGTTTGACTGCATACTAGTCGACTTTCTGTGCAGATCCAGTTTTTGCATGATCCTAGCAGCATGTTCTCGACCAGTTTCGCCCTCTTCTCTTGAGGTAACAGAACGACGAGGAGGGACAATATCGGAACTGGGCCTTCCAGCAAACTCTGCTCCAGGGATAGGTAGTGTGCCGGATCTTTCGATCACATCTTCACTGCCATACGAAATTTGACCATCCGCATTTTTGGCAGCAAATTCGGGAATAGAAGGTGGAGTGATAGCGAATGCGGGATCAATTCCTCCAGCACGGAGCGTTCTAGGATTTGCACTAGCCTCGAGAGCTTTGTTTTTAGCAAGTTCAAAAGCCTCAAGCCATTCCATAAGGATAGCTTGAGTCTCTGCTTGAACAAGAATTGTTTGATTTTTGGTTTTGACCTCAAAACAGAATCGGCGATCTTCCTGAACAGCCGGTTTCACATTACAAAGAAGGACGCCAATCTTCTCACTTTCCTCTACTCCTCCAGATTGTATTCCTTGAACTAGCCAACCAAAAATCCCGTCTTTAACATAAAACCAGCGACGGACCCACAAAGTTCTTGCGGGCTTACCAGATATTGTTCGTAAGAACAGCCAATCTTGTTTTTCCGATCGTTCAGTATGTTTGCTTTGAGGTTGGATAAGTCCAGTCGAAGGACCTCTTGAGCCAAGGTATGCAACCGTTGAAAGATTGTAGTCTTCCAATTCTCTTGATGGTTTTGATGCCTGGGATGCAGTCTCCGCAATATCTCGCCTGGCAAGCTGCAATTCACGGCGGAATGTTGCCTCACCAGCTTCCATTTCTTTGCTCCATCCTCGCACGCGATCCATCTCATGACCCCATTTAGCAAGAGTTAACGAAGAGACTTCTCTTGTTCTCTTCATCTCCTTCCATTGATCAGTTGATATTCTCACAAGTAATTTGTCAATCGTATATCGTAGTTGGGGCGCAAGTAAACAAAAGTCCAGAGATGCTTTCAAATATGCTTTTCTGGTTTCGTGTACTTGGAAAGCATCTTCTCGCAGCGCCGAAGGCTCTTTAGTTTTCGATTGAGCCACGTATCTTGCCAGTGTAGAGTCAAATGTCTTCTGCGATTGCTCTAAGTATCTTCGAGCATCTTTAAAATTCCGTAGTTCTGAAGCCATGAATGCTTTGATGGGCTCGCATATATTTGTATCGATTTTCCTAGTGCCAGCCATAATCTGCGACCACCATTCCTTCGACCCTTCTCCAAATCTTTGCATTGCCAATAAAGTGTAGTCATGATCGAGGACAGCTTCGGAAACGTTCGCAGGAGGGATCGATCGAAAGAGAAAGTTATTGAATGCATCTTCTAATGACGAAGCGTCGTGAACAAGTTTGGTTATAGATTTGACATAAGCATCGAGCCATTTCTCAAGTATCTCCACTTGATCAGAGAAATGTACTGCTGTCGCGCGAAAGGTGGGTGAATCGAGGGCTGCTTCTTTTAAGCCTACTGGTATCAAGCTCAATGGCCTATTGAGCTGTGGTATAACGGGCGGCGCAACGTCCGACATGTTGATTAAACTCTACGCAGAGTAAAAGATCGAATCAATCCCAACCTCATTATGTTAAAAAGCTGTAAAGGGTTGTATCATATATGTAAAATTGGAAATCGTCCTGAGAGGTGGCACAGAAAGTTGGGGTTGGCGGCTGGATTATTTGAGGGGGAAAGTATAAGGGGCTTTAAACTGGAAGTTTGGTATCAACCAATAAACTCATAATGAGATAGTAATAAATGACATTAAATTTGATAAAACAACTGAGAGTTGAATGTTTAAATTACTCAAATACTATATAAAATCAAAGCTTTTCATGAAGCAAAAGGTACAATGAATTCATCCAATTCTTCCCCCAATCCTCAATTCCAAAAGTTCCAGAAAGAAATTATTTCAATATTGGTCAATGTTCTTTTTCCGGCTCTTCATGTCTCTCATCGGACGCATGCATTAGTGTGTGGAGGTGTTTTCCTTTCCTGATGAGCCCAATATTTCGCCCAGGATTACACCAGGATTAATGATTTACAAGAGACCAGTGGGGAGATGGTGGGATAATCATCGTTCACAATATACACAGATTAACTTCATTTTTGGATTTGATATGGATTTCTACTTTAAATAGATTAAAGACGAGAAACATCGCGAAAATCATTGAACTGAATGCTCCACCTCGGTGAAATCTATTAATACACTCGAGTACACCATAACTCCTACATTGGCTATGAATATAGACTCCAATTATTCCTCAGCCGTAGCTTTTCCAACAGCTCCCTTATTCTTTCTAGACCTCTTCTTCTTCTTCTTTTCTGGGATCTCTACACCTTCCATAGCATCTGCTCCTTCCCCGGCATCAGGACCAATAATAATTTCCGGTCCATCCTCGTTACCGAATGTCTCCTTTCTCCACTGCCTTAACCTAGCTTTCTTACCGAGATGCTTCTTGTCTTTGCGTTTCTTCTCTGCATCTCTAAAGGTAGCCATCTTTTTCAAGCCGGCAAATTCATTGAGGGATGAATCAGGTGCCATTAGAATATCTCTAGCCGTCAAACCGAATGAGGTAGGTGAAGTTTCGCGATATCTGAATACTGATGCCTTTTTGGAAGCCAAAGAAAGATCAACATCAAGCTTACTTTCCACAAGATCCTCAATCTTTCTTCTTTCCAAGCGCGCGGCTTTCTTTTTGTTTTGCTTTTCCAATTGTCGTTCTTTGTTGCTTTTTGACTTCTTGGACGACCCCTCTTCGTCGCCCGATTCCTCCTCTGCATCATCTTCGAGATCCGATAGAGAGTAAATGGGTTTTGTAGATTTTTCGTCATCCTCAAAATCGGAAACAATATCTCCAATGTCAATATCGTCGTCCCACTTTGGCTTCTTGACCTTCTTCTTCTTCTTCCCCTCTGTTTCGCCGTCACTCTCTGATCCACCTTCTTGCTCTGCATAATAGCTCTCTCCAAAGCGTTTGTTCATCTCAGCCTCCCAATTTTCATCATCCCAGGCCGCATCCAAGAACTGTGCCCATTCTTCATCCTTCAAGGTTTTACCATTTATACCTGCAGCTTTCTTGATCTTCTGGAGTCTCTCCTCCATCTCATCAATCTTCAACCGCTTCAATCGTGCTCTCTCTTCTTCCCTCTCCTTCTTCTCGGCCTCTTTCTTCTCTCTTGCGGCATCTCTTTGCTTCTTCCTGCCGCTGACCTCATCACGACGAACTGATTTTGCAGCGACGACATCTCTGGCATATGATTTCAAATTCTCATTGCTTCCTTCAGCATTTTCGAAACGCAAGTTGTAAGCTGCCTCGAATTGCTCGGCTCGGTTGTCATCGTCTTCGTCGTCAGATTCCATGGGTTGGAAGCGTGCACCATCACTAGGAACCCATGCGCGAGCTGCCATAAAGTTCGATAAAAAGGTCTCCGGATCCTTGTCGGCAACGGCGATATCGACTTCAACCTTTGAGGCTCTGGATGGATGGATACCTGAGCTTGAAAGACCTGGATTCTTATCCTTCCTAACAAGGAATCCTTCATCTTCGTCTGAAGCAGATCCATCGGCAGCTGCATGCATTTCACTAACAATTTTCTTCTTTAAAGCTTCTTGTTCTTGGGCGAATGTTTGTGGGACGTTTTCATCCTCGTCCTCCCCGCCTGCATGGCCAGCTAATAAATTCTCTCGGTGATAATCTTTCAAGTACATAGGCTTCTCCTTCTTTTCTGTCGTGGTTCCTTCCTCTGCGTCTTCATCAATTGGGGTATAAAATGTAACCTTTTCATCGTAAACTCGAGGGTCCTTTGAACGTAGAGCTTGCAATGTAGCTGAAATCTCTTTGTCCAAATCTTCGGTTGCTAGAAATCCTTCATCATCTTCATCTTCATCATCGGATGACGAAGAATCCTCATCGTATTTATCGCCGTATTTCTTCTCGCCATTTCTTCCAACGGTTGGTCCAGGTTTCTTCGTATACTTTTCCTCCACTAAGAAATTGATAAGTCAGTATGATTGACAACCTTGGGGAGCGTCTTTACTCACGTCTCTGAAGCTCTTCACGTTTCTTATTATGCTCGAATCTTTTCGCATATTCTTGATTGACTTTGAATCCAGATTCAAGCGGGGCACCTCCAACGGAATCGTCTTCACTGCTAGAATCGCTGTCATCTAGCATCATCTTAGACTTTTCGACCTTTTCGACTTTTGCGATAGGTTCTTGCTTGGCCTTTTTCGTGCCATTCTTGGTCACAAGTTGATCTTGCGATTCAGCCTTTCTTTTTCCCATTTTGTAGGACTCAATTGTAGTTGTGAAAATGTTCTTACCAAATTGATCGAATCAATTCTTTTATCTTGAAAATCAAAATCAAAATCAAAAAATAAAATCTCGGTCGGTGAACGTGAGCCAGAAGTTCCGGCGCTAATCGGCTGCAGCCCAGGATCATGATTCGCTCCGTCCACAACCTGCCATTCCTCCATTCATATCCATCTTCCTCTAAAAGCAGAGCTACCCACCGAGCCTATTTATTGACATCTACTAAGTTATCAACGGTAAAAGGGAATCAAGATAATTTTCAAATCTCTTTCAAATATCATCGCTTCCGACAAATAAATCCGAAAATAGTCAGCGATTTTTGGAGGTCCATCTTACATTCGAGCAACACGAACCACAAACCGGATTTGTAACTTATGGCGGACTCAACTACATCAGCTCCAAAGCCGAGTTCCAGCGTCAAGTTGGTTCTTCTTGGTGAGGCAGCTGTAGGAAAGGCATGTAGAGATTTGGAATAAATTATAGCACATCATGTTGACTCTTGTTTAGTCTTCCCTTGTATTGCGGTTTGTGAACAATGACTTTCAGGAAAACAAGGAACCTACTATTGGAGGTACATATATATTCATTTATATTGCTCTCACATTCATATGGCCTTTACTAATAGTTGTTATTGCAGCGGCTTTCTTGACGCAAAAATGTAATTTACCAACCAGAACGATCAAATTCGAGATATGGGATACCGCTGGACAAGAACGTTTCGCCTCTCTTGCTCCCATGTACTATCGAAATGCTCAATCCGCTCTCGTCGTTTATGACCTCACAAAACCTACATCGCTGGCTAAAGCAAAGCACTGGGTCGCAGAGCTTCAAAGACAAGCGTCACCGGGCATCGTCATCGCACTTGTAGGCAACAAACTTGATTTGACAAATGAATCCGACGATTCCAGTAATAACTTGGGAGATGAAGAATCAGCCGAAGGAGAAGATTCAGGCGGAGATGCGCGAAAGGTATCAACTGCTGAGGCTAAATCATATGCCGAGGAAGAGGGATTATTGTTCTTCGAAACTTCTGCTAAGCTTGGCACAAATGTAACAGAGGTATTCACGGCAATCGCAAACGCCATCCCAGAGACATCATTGAAGGGAGCTCGAGGACCTGGAGGTACACAAGCAACTTCAGCAAGAGGAGAAGAACAATCTAGAGTCAATTTGACAGGCCCAAGGGATAATGCTTCGAAGGAGGGTTGTGCTTGTTAATACATCAGTCTCATCTTTCGCGGGATTCTTTCCAATGCTTTTTTCATTCGCAATCGTTTGGGTTCCTGGGGTTTTTGGTGGTTATTTTTGATATTTATTAGTTGTTTGATATGAATACGAACTGAATAGCAGGTAGTAAGGAGGCAAATCGGGACTAAGAGGGGTCGAGAATAGCATTTCAATTTCTGGAAGTCCTTTGTGGTAACAGCGTATTGCTCACTTTGTAACAGGAATTTGTCACCGATAATCAATAATGACGATCCAGCGTTTTTTAGAATTCTGTTGTCATAATATGACTTTTGTTATGAGTGAAGGTAAAACGAATGAGTCGGTCTATCCCTATCCCGCAATGGCTTTACGCACAGCTGTTTCAAGCCTTTCCACCAAAGCACAGATGTTGCGAGGCAGTCCATTGGATTCTGAGGGACTTAAATGCTTGGAGCACATGCCCGAGTCTGGATTGCTTCTATTGAAGTCTACGGAAACTAGTAATGATAAGCTTTTCCATGTGGAGTTTTCGCAAAGAGTATAGAGTCTGACAAATGTTGTTTCCAATGAGGCTGCGTATGAGCGGCTGTTTACACATTTGTTTTGCCTGATGGTGAAATTCTAGGCTGTCTGATCTTTCTTTGACTTTGCCTGACGTGCGGGTGTTTGAGACGATATGGAGGATGGGGAATTGATCGTTGGGTATTTCTACATATATATACAGCTTTCCCCCCCTTCACATTGTTCACTCTAAACCATTCCAATCTACTTTTTTTCATTTTTAACTGTTCTACAGCTGGTCTGATTTATATTCAACTATACCTTAATTCGTTTATTCAATCACTTTGACAGTACTATTCACATACTCAAGATGCGTTCCTCAACAGCAAGTTTGATTTTGGCCTTCTGCGCCATCTTGGCAGTTCAGGCAGCTCCAGTGGATACAACTACCAATGTCGCTCGTTCAGTTTCTGGTATTGAGGCGAGAGCAGAGTTCGGGATTGTTGCTCGCGACAACGATTACGACGCGGAGGGCAATGAGATCGATGCAAATGGCAACTTGGTCGAACGTGGTGAGTAATCTTTTTCGAATGATTTACACCAGTGTAATTACTAATAGACTCGTAGATACTGGCTATAACGCAGCCGGTGATGAAATCGATGAGAACGGAAACGTCATTGAAAAGAGAGCCAAGAAGAACAAGGCAGGTATGTTAATACATCTGGATTGGATTAGATTTACAATATTGATATTATTCTTTTAGCCAAGAAAGCTAATGCACGCGCTGAGACCGGCTACGACGCGGAAGGCAATGAGATTGATGCAAATGGCAACTTGATCGAGCGTGGTTAGTACTATTCACATATCTGCATAGTAGAAAAACTCGCTAATGGTTCCAAAGATTCGGAGTACAACGCTGCAGGCGAAGAGATTGATGAGAATGGAAATGTCATCGAGAAGAGAACCAAGACAAACGCACGTGCTGAGACTGGCTACGATGCGGAAGGCAACGAGATTGATGCAAATGGCAATTTGATCGAGCGTGGTAAGTCGCAGCTTGCTTCATCTTCTCCTATGTATAGTCTAACAGTTTTAGGTGCCGACGGATATGATGCCGATGGCAACGAAATCGATGCCAACGGAAAGCTCATCGAACGTCAGACCAACACCAAGAAAAACAAGAAGGGTATGTTGTCTCATTAATCATGGGTCAGATCAGAATACTAATTGTAATCTAGCAAAGAAAGCTCGTCGTGATACCGAGTACGACGCTGAGTAAGTGAAACCTGCTTTTCAAATACCCTTATTAGCACCTCAATCTCCACTGGTGCGACCGATCTTGTATATCCATCAGCATGCATCGACAATCCTGCCGATTGATTAGACAGAACCTGCATGCTTGGAATAATCGGATATGGAGCTTTCATCTGTCTTCTGGTTCGGCACCGCTAGTTCTCAAAGATATTCGGCCATGCATGGGACATCCCATAACTCTTGGCTTCCTTCAGTCTTTCTCCTTCTAGTTACTGACTTTTGATTTTATAGGGGAAATGAATTGGACTCCAACGGAAAAGTTGTTGAGAAACGTGGTAAGTCAACCTGTCTCTTACCAACAAGCGCCATAACAACATTTACTTACAATTCAATAGAAACCGGCTATGATGCCGAAGGCAACGAGATTGACGAGAATGGAAACCTCATTGAGAAACGTGGTAAGTCAATCTGTCTTTCACCAATTTGTCCCACAGCAACATCTACTTATAATTCAATAGAAACTGGTTATGATGCTGAGGGCAACGAGATTGACGAGAATGGAAACCTTATCGAAAAACGTGGTAAGTCAATCTGTCTCTCCCCAACCTGTCCCACAGGAACATCTATTTACAATCAATAGAAACCGGCTATGATGCCGAGGGCAATGAGATTGATGAGAATGGAAACCTCATTGAGAAACGTGGTAAGTCGACCTGTCTCTCAACTTGTCCCACAGGAACATCTACTTACAATCAATAGAAACCGGCTATGATGCCGAGGGCAATGAGATCGACGAGAACGGACAAATCGTCGAGCGTCAAACCAACAACAAGAAAAACAAGAGAGCCAAGACCGCACGCAGAGGTAATTTCTTACTGCTCCTACCCTTTCTTTCCCATTTCCTCAAACTAAACAACATTTCGTGCACCGTACATTAATTATCAACTAACACCATACAGATTTCAACTACGAATCCCAATACGACGAGGCCGGCAACGAGATCGACGAGAACGGAAACCTAGTCAACGTCTAAGCCTCTAATCCTGCTTCATCTCTCAATCTTCTTACAAGTATACTTGCGCGCCGTGTCCCTGATCGCGCACTAGTTGGGTCTCATGTCAAAATTTAGTTTCATCAATGAGTTCTCGGGTGTTTCATCAATCCTTGATTATTTCGCATTGTGTCTGGCCATGGATTACATTCATTTGGTACCAGTGGATTGGAAATACTATCATTTATTTATTTTATACATCTCAATCGTTGAATATTTGTACGCGTTATGTGTTATTGTGAAATGCAAATTCTAAAGTGAGCAAGAGGATGGGGAAACCCCGTGTCGGATTTGGCTCGCGAACCGAGCATCCCCTGAAACACCATATGATACTACTCCATACTTTCGGAAATAAAATATGAAACTTGATATTCACCTAGTGTAACAAGGTACGCATTGCTCCCGGATGTATATGTTTATAATTTTCTGTGTCTAGCTTCCATCATGCCAATCTTGTATGGCTTGCGAAATCGAGCTAAGATGTCACTATTTTTTGTTCTCCCATTGTCAAGAAGTCTCGACGAATCATAATAGTATTGTTTAACATCATCTAAAATATGGGCTGGATACAAAGCCTCTAATACTCTATCAAGACTATTTTCCCTTTCATTCATGATCATCATTGTCAACTGTTAAATTCCCGGCATCCCTAATACTGATCTCACAGTAGGGTTCAGTCTTGGAAGCCAAAATACAACAAACACCCCTCCGAACGCGACAATTAATCCAGTTAGCTTCTCAAACCAGGTATGAAAATAAATGGCCGTCATAGCCAACATAAATAAACTCAACCCCGCCACTCCGAGTATAATCTTCACGCTAAATCCCAACCACCCATCTTGATTTAAACCCTCTGCTTCATTCAGCGAGGGAGCTTCAATCTCTGCCGATTTGACCGCTCCATCTGCCATAACGATCGTCCGTTCCTCTTTTATTCCAGAACTTCGCAGAACCACATGAAGTACCTCTTGGAAAAGAAACATACTACCCAAAACAAGTAAGAAAACATGTCCACTGATATCATGACCACCCTTCCATTTTCCACCCACAGCTTTACAAGCTACCCCCGTAACAAACTGACGCGTATTATCCATATCAATCTTTCCCTTCTCCGCCGCATCCACCAGCTCGCATTGTCCACCCGTTATAACAAATCCGCGATCGATCAATGGCGGACCAAAAAACCATTGCGTAACGAATATCCACCAGATCGTAACAACTAAATAGCGTAATGTTCCGCGTGCTCGTCGGGCTGTGAGAATAAAGACACCTGGAGGACCGGTTGAGGGATGTGTGAGGAGGAAGAAAAAATAACTGGCAGATATCCACGCCCAGCCTTGCTTCACAAAGTATTGGTTGAATATGTTGCTTTTCTTTGCGAAATATGATGGTGCGGTGCTTGGAGGATGAGATTGGAGAACTGGGTTGTACACGGATGCTCGCACGTCAGGACTCAAGACTGAGAATATTGAGCCTAGTAGTAAGGTTGCAGGATATATCGATAGGAGTATTGCTTCGAAGGTGGTCGGCAGGAAAGGTGATCTCCTTGGTGCCATTTTAATGGTTGTTGATGAAGCTTCAACTATTCGAGGAGATCGTCTTTTGGCTTTGGAAGGTGACTCCATTGTTAGATATTATAACATAGATAAATCGTCTTCAAGTTGGATAGAGAATGAGTGACCGTAGATGCTTCCAAGATCAATATATACAGGTACTGTAGCATTAAGGCTGGAAGTCGCCAGATTGATCAGAGGCAAGAAATTTTGAAAGGCACCCAAAATGTAGCCTATGACGTTGACGCTTTCCTTCTAGATTTTGCCATGTGTGTCCACGAACAGGGCAGGCATCGGAATTAAGAAGGCCCGAGGGGTTAAGTGGCTCCTTCCCCAGATTGATTCAATTGATTGAATGGAATTCGTGCAATGGGAACGAGCGAATTATTGGAGTTTCAAGAGGGATTTGGACAGACTGTCTATTTTCTCTTTCCATATTTAATAGAAATAATCGATTCTTTTACTCGATTCTCCTGAAGTTAAACAGTGAAAACAACACAATCCATACAAACAAAATGGTCTCAACACGCAGACACCCTTCCGAATTCCCCGAAACTCCCAGCCGTACACCCACAATCCCCTCTCGCAATCCTGCTCGCAAAGGACAATGGGCTCATACCCCCTCCAACCTCACTATCATTTGGCTTTTCATCTCTCTCCCACTCGTAGCATGGGATGCTGGATATGTTATGCTTCGACCTCTTTCTATGCCCGGAGGATCACTCCATTGGCCAGTCTGGGCTCCGTATGAATTATATGGAAAGGTCGATTATATATATGGATGGAAGGCTTTCAATGAACACAATGGATTTACGATGGCGCAGACGTTTTTGAATATTATTGAGAGTGCGATGTATTATTACTATTTGTATATCTTATATGCTTATGGGAAATCATCGAAGGCTCAGGGAAGAGGTGCTCCTAAGAATTCGGGGGTGCTTGGAGAACAGAGATCTGTGGATGGGAAGATGGGGGCTTTGGCTGTTTTGGTGGGTTATAGTGCTGCGGTTATGACAGTCAGTAAGACGGTGTTGTATTGTAAGTTTGACTTGTATTCTGTGTGGTGATGATGCTTTTGCTAATGTGGCATAGGGATGAACGAATATTACTCGGGATTTGAGAATATTGGTCATAATAGTATTCGGGATTTGATTTTCTTGTGGATCATTCCAAAGTAAGTCAGTTACAATTTTAGATGTCCCTCATCTAACATTCTATAGCGGTGCTTGGATAGCTGTCCCTTCATACATCATATATGTAACTGGAAGTGAAATTCTTCAAGGCTTGACAATAGCTGCTGGTGGAGCTACGGCTTCGAATGACGATGTTTCTGTGGTAAAGAAGGAGTAAATGAAAGCCCATGATATATACGAGGGCGTTTGACCTTGGAAAGAGATGTTAGCATCATTTTCAGTTATACATTTGAGACGTACAGCGTACTGCGATGACGAGATACCATGACAGTAAAGCACATAGTTGCAAGTAATGATAAGATATATGGGTGTACTTTTATTCCTTGCTCAGAATGAGAAATCAAGAATTGAGATCAATTGACATTTTGTTTTAAATACAGTAACATAGTTTGACTAGATTAATGATCAATCCAAAGAGTGCAATCGTGAACTGTAGGTACCTAGGTAATACAATTTTATATTGGAAATATAAAGGTAAGGACATATCAAACCAATGATCTTAGCTACCTGTCTATGTAGAGCACCTGCATACCTAAATTACAGAGCAGGCTCTTGAAGGATACGGAATTCACTGTGATACTACAGCATATTTTATTCCATTATATGTCAAAACTGTCGCTCAATCAGCAACCACTACTAGAAGATAACTTCTAAGAAAAGCCTGCTTGGCGCAGTGGTAACGCGTAGCACTTGTATTCCCTACGAAATGCTAAGATCATTGGTTCGATTCCAGTAGTAGGCAAAACCTTTTGTGATTTTTGGACATTTTTCTAAATGTAGGGTTTGCTTTCCCTTTTTCTCTGGTTGATGATGGATGATGGTGTGGGAGAGGGAGAGTTTAAAGAAAGTGAAAAGGCTTATTTAGTAGTACATACTTATTTTGGGTTTCTTCGCGTGCTCTTCTTGTTTTCTATTTTAATTCCTCGTTTGTAGAGATACCATACTGTATGTAGATGGATGGGAAGAAAATTGAGTAATAACTTGTGACTCGTGCGTTTAGTGCATTTATTAGTGGAGCGGAGTGTTAATCCACCTCCCACCACGTAAATTCCCGCAGAGAATCTAGCCGAGCCGAACATGTAACTTCACATCCGATCCGTCTATTTATCTTCATTGGATAGGTATTAACTAGCTAACCACCGTAGTATAGTTGGAGTTGATACCAACCGGTAGGTATGTACACTTTTAGATTCTACTGTTGAGTTTTATTTTTCTTCAAGTATCTTTTATCTTATCTTGGAGACCCGGGGGTGGAAAGGCGTAGAAGTAAGAGAATCCAATTACCTAGCTGTACCTACCTACCTACCAGCTAGTGAGTGCATGTAGACTATTTCTCTCGCATTCATTATTGTCGTGAAGTTATCACCGCATGAGATTATCTGATACTACCTATGTATATACAATTCGATATCCTAACCCAAATATGGTCTGTAATCATCTAGATATGGTATACCTATCCAACCTACCTTGTAGGCGAATGTTGATGATTCCACCCATACTGTATTGTATGCACTGTACGCTACGCTACGGAGTAAGAATATTGACTACCCCTCCATCACATCTTAAAATCTCGGTTATTTAGTTCACTGCATATCAGATCAAATCAGATCAAATCATTGGGTCTTGGATTCACCCGGGCAATAGTATATACCTAGGTATCCAATAGTAGGGTTAAAGGATTCATCGTATAAAATACCTAAATTATGTCCGCATGTTCTCCTACGAAAAATTCTGAAACGTCTCCTTCACCTTCACCTTTACTCACTAACCTCCTCGAGGCTACCTGCACCACAGTCTAGCAGCGAATTATAATAGTTCATGTTATAAAAAGAAGGAATTCCTGGTTATTTTCCGGAAGATCCTTAAAGATCAACCTGAAGTGTTCAAGTTAGTATGAGGTCACGAAAATGTGACTTAGATAGCTCGAGTAAAACGGGCGCTAGACCGATTGAAGCTTGAATAATCATCAATCATGACATACTAGGTAGATATAAACATCATTCTCAGAAATTGATAGATGTATACAATTGAAACGAACTCATCAAGAGATTTTCAATCTTTCATCCCACATACCTTCTTCTCTTGAAGGTCGTTGAAGAAACCTTCTGGAAATCGCAAACAAATCGCAAACTTATCACGATGATGGCTCAAACTACTTCGGCTGCTCAACCCGACGCAGTTTTCCCGGCCGACAAGGAGTCAACTACTCAACCGGGCGCACTTGTTCTGGTTCGAATTACTCCAATTGCTCAAACCGATGCAGTTGTCCTGACTCGAATTACTTCAACTACTCAAACCGACACAGTTGTCCTGGTCGACAAGAAGTCAACTGCTCACAACGATGCAATTACCCAGCAAAGAAAGTCAACCTCATCAGCCTTAGTTCGCATCCCACCAGAAATACTCAGGATGATCGCAGAATTTCTTCCGGAGAAAAACGCCGCCTGTTTCACTCTTTGTTGCCACAGTATAAAAGACGTCCTTGGAGAGCGGTATTTGAAGGCTATGACAATTCCACCGTATGAACAATTTGATTTCTCTCCTAAAGGTGAAATCAAATTTGTGCACCTTTTGGCGAGAGACCTTCCTCAACACTTCGCATGCTTCGAGTGTTCCCGCATTCATCGAGCGAGAACCATCAAATGGCCCAGTAACATTAAAGAGCATCTCGGCTGTGCTCATAGCATTCGGAGTAGGCAGAATGCTTATTCTCTTACGTTTTTCTCGCCCTTCAAAATATATTTCGCTCAAGTTTATTTGGTGATGAAGCAACATCGATTGGGCATCGATCTTGGATTTCCTCTGGAGGCGTTCCGACACGTAGAAATTACACACGAGAAGCGCACGAATGTAACGAATTTAATGTCTGTGGATGCCCGGTTTGTCTCCAATGAGCTTCTGTTACGGTCTCAAATCTGGATTCTATTCCCTCCGAGCCAAAAAGACAGAATGATTCAGAAATTATCTGAATGTGGATTGCCCACTAGATTGTGTGCTCATTCAGCACGATCATCATTGGAAGAGATGGTGGCAGGACTTATGGGGAATGGAGGTTCCCTTATACGAACGGTGCAATGCCATCATTGTTGGATGGACTTTGGGATACGTCGAAAGTACTTTGGAGAGGCAGGAACTGCGTTCATAATTACAAGATGGATCAATCTTGGAGCTGGTCTAGACCCCGAAGATCGTAAGTGGCAAGGTCATATCGGACGTAAAGGTCTGCGTTCCAGGCAGCGTCTAGTGAATATTAGAAAAACTTTCGAAGACCAGGAAGGATCGTCGATGGAAGAGTTTACTTCTGATAATCAACAGAAGTTATTGTCGGAGTGGAGAAGCAAATACTCCAATTCAGGGGCGGATGATGTTGCTTAGGAGTGGATTGGACGTCAGACGTGGTACTTGAACTCATCGGGACCACGTGAATGAAGTTTATGGAAATATTCAGCGAGTACGAATGAATGTCTTGGGAGCAGTGGTGTATTTGAAGGATATAATGTAGTTGGCGTCAAATTGCGAGTAGGATAATCTTATGGTTGATATATGGCTTGTTAGGGAGGGATACTTATAATTTTAATGTAATGGATATTTTGTCGTCTCATCGTGGGTGGTGGATGTATACTTGTGATATCGTTTTCGGCATAAGATCTGAAAGTGCCAAGAGTTCAAGAGTACGAAACATATCAGGACATCTTTCCAAGATTTAGAGATTCCAAAATTCAAACCACCAGATCATGAAACTTTTCACATTCACAGGACTGTCCAATTGTCCAAGCGAGTCCTGCGTGGCTAACCTTATCTGATCACGTGATTATATGCAAAAGGTCACCAACCACCCAAGACGCTATAATTTGGCTGTGCAATGAAAGGGATCTGATCTCGAGGTCGGTAGGTAGGCTGTGCATAAATTTGAAATGAAGACTGGATAACCTTATTGATGTGATTTTAAGGAGACGAGTAGAAAATAGACCAAGGTAGTAACAAGAGAGAAATGCATCCAGCAGCCAGCAGTGAGAACCTTACATACCTACCCGTGATATGCGATCAGATGATAATTCTGGAATGATGTTACATTGAGTAAAGGATTTCTCTCGTACTCCGTCCCTCTTCGGCTTTAAGCATTGGCGCTCGTTGGTGAATGCATGGCATGAGTGGAGATGATGTAACGAAAGTCTGGGTCCTTGCTGTTGAGTGTTGATGGATGTCGTTTGTCAGTTCGTATGTATGTATGTGTGTATGTGTGTACGGAGTATGCATAGATGTGTGTTTGGTACCTGCCTAGTTGGTTAGATCTTACAGAGTCTTGATTCCTGTGTTGTTGATTAAGATCAATTATAATCAATAATCATTTAGAAACCCTTCCTTCCTTCCTCCCTCCTTCACATGTATTCATATGAATTCATATATATTCGCATCCAATAGGCAGGTAGATATATAAGGAGGTATCGACTTTAATGACATGTTCCATAATAAATTGAAACGATAGTTGATTGATATCAAATCAACTGAAACCACTCTCATTCACCACCTCTCTCTACCCAAGTGCTCCATTCAGGTCAAATGAGAGGAGGCTTCCTAGTAGTCAAACATCCATCACAATACGAGTAATGAATAATGTCGAACCGCAGACTGGAACTCAGACGCAATGTAGGTATTATCATCAGCCTTCAAAGAATATCCATTCTAAACTTAAACCCAAAGAAACTCTCTTCCTTTATCTACCTACGTAGGTACCGGGATATTCTTATCCCTTTACAAAATAATTGTTGATTGCATGATAATAGATTTATTTGATTGATTGCATCCTTTCTCCCCCTCCCTTTATGGCTTGCTTATTAATACATTAAATGATCAAGATGCGAATGCATAAGACGAGTTAATCAGAAATATCAGAAATAGGCATAAGAGTAAGAAAAAGGTGACTGAAAACAAGATATATTCAGCCTATCGCCACTAGAAATCATTTATCAGCAAATCAAGACCTACCGGTACCACCACCTACTTCGTACACTTATTATTATTATTATTACACTTCCAATCTACAATCTACTGCTCTCCAACTACTTTACCTACCTAGGTATCCAGTCACCCAGTCTCCCAGTCCAGGTATTCTTACCGAAAGCGTCCGACGTCCGTTCATCGATCCATCCAACCATCCCATCCCATCACATCCCAATCCAATCCTATCCTGTCCTGTCCTATCCCAATCCTGGACCTTACGCTTTCTACAAACCCAAACCACAAGTAATCAGAGTTCACTTCTTACTTCTCCACCTCAATACATACAAACCACCACCACCACCACCACCACCAACAACAAAACCTTTTTTGTTTTTTTTTTTTGCTTTCGCCCTCGATAAAATATCCCTTTTAACGCTTCGAAAGATTCGGTTGGATTTGATTTGATTTTATTCCGGCTGGCCGAGAAAAGATCCGGGCTGGTTTCAATATTCGACTTTACGTTGGATCATTGGAGAAAGGAAAGCAAACAAGGCAGGCAACATTTGGAAGGGTTGCGATAAGGTTCCCGTACAATGATGGAGGACTTCCTGCGGGGGATGCAGCAATCAACTCTCACCACCTCGGTTTTATTCACAACGCCAACGTCGATACCTATTGTAGCTGGCGCTCAGGAAGCTCTTCGAGATACACTGCAACAAGCGACCAGCCTGCAACATGCAGCGGCGGCTGTCGCGACCAGTACATCTAGCGACAATGTTCAGCTCACATCCTCCAATGATTCGACGATAAATGGTGTGGTGATAGGATTATTAAGTTCATTTGGTTCGGCCATCTTGATAGCTTTTATCTTCCTGATTGTTTATTTCTTCAAATACACCAGTAGTGGAAGGATTTTGCTGGATCGGATCGGAAGGCCGGGAGAATACGACGATGAACAGGCTTTAGCAAAGGAAGAGGCGGAAGCCTTGGAAGAAATGGATGATTTACAAAGAACTGAATATTTAAGAGCCAAAGGTATGTCTAATCATAATCTACGTGCCGCTTGATGATGCTAATGATATTATCCGTATAGCATTCGTACAATCAAATCCACCCGATTCATTACCAACCGACATTTCCCTCTCACAATACTTGGCAATCCAGGAGAAAGGTGTCTCTGCTTGGGAGTTTGAACCAGAGTTGGAGATTGCCAATTGTTTTGTAGAGGCTAGGACGGAAATTGAATTCTTCGATAGCGAATGTTGCACTCTGACGAATTTACCGGTACCAAAACAGAACGAGGTTTACTATTGGGAGTCTAAGATTTACGATAAGCCGGAAAATACACTTATTAGCATCGGAGTGGCTACAAAGCCTTATCCTTTGTTCAGGTTACCAGGTATGTCGTCTGGATCATGAATTGTGAGGATAATTACTGACGTAGAGCAGGCTGGCATAAGTATTCCGTAGCTTATACATCTACTGGACATCGAAGATATAATCAACCTTTTAGCGGACCGGTATATGGACCACAATACGTTCAAGGGGATGTCATCGGAGTAGGATATCGACCTCGAACTGGTACAATATTCTTCACCCGAAATGGAAAGAAACTCGAAGATGTCGCACATGGTCTGAAATCACAGAATCTTTTCCCAGCTGTTGGGGCAAATGGTCCTTGCACAGTACATGTCAATTTTGGACAATCTGGTTTTGTTTTTATTGAAGCAAATGTTAAGAAATGGGGTTTAGCACCTATGACTGGTAGTCTTGCTCCTCCACCTCCATATGGTAGTGAACAAGGAAGCATTCTTTTAGAGGCAGGACGAGAAGGTGCACAAAGTAGCAACGGCCATTACCAACCAGATCCAAGACATGGACGAACTCGAAGTGGAAATTTTAGGCATGGTCCACCTACAAGTCCTGGACCAATACGATCACCCACAGATATTTCTTTAGCTCAACTTACACACTTTCCTTCACACGAAGAGCCCGGTGAGGCTTCGAATAGTTCTACGCCAGCACCTACAGGAGGTGCTACACAACAAACTGGATTAGGCGTACACGATAATGCACAACCTCCTCCAGAATATACAAGTCCTTTACCATCCGTAGCAGGAAGTCCTCGAGGAAGTACAGATAGTGAAAGGACACCAATGCTACGAAGAAAAACAACACCTCCACCAATACCAAGTTATAATGATGCAGTAGCACAAAGGAATCGAAGTCAAAGTTATCGGGATAGAAGCGGAAACCGAAGAGAAAGAAGTGATAGTCATCGAGCTCGACATGGTGATGGAAACCCTTCTCAATCATGACCACCTAGCGTAGAGTGAATTTTCAGAATAAAAGTATACGAAGCGAGGAGTTTGAGAGAAAACGAGAAAGAGGAAGTTTGAATAAAGGCTTTTGGTATGATATTGATCATGGGAATTGATCGCCGTCGTGATATTTTCTTTTGGGAGGTGGGAACTTGTTAGGACTTGGAGTTTACATATGAATAGCGTGGTGTGGTGTAGTTCCCTATGTTGTTGAATTGAATTGAAGGGTGGCTCGGTGCAGTTTTGGTATGCTCTTATCTTGTCTTGGGTTGGGTTGGTAAGACAAGGAAGAATTTGGAGATAGGTTGGGATGGGTAGGATGGGAGAATTGTTTTGGTTGGCGTATTGGGTGTTTTTTTATGGATGGGTTGTTGATGGATGGATGGACTCTTGAACATAAGTTGGGAAATTGGAGAAGAAGATTTTGAAGAGACATTGAAATCGACGGAAGGATAGTTGTGGCAAGAGTGTCTATCAGAAGAGGGTGCGTGGGTGGAGGTGTGAGATGAGATGCGATGCGATGACATACATAGGAAGAGATTGGAATGGAGATATGGATACTGATTGCTAGGCGATTGAGTTGAAAGGGGTAAAATGACTTGTGCATAAGGTACTAGTCGACGCAATACAAATATATGAAGTTCCTTTGTCATTATCAAAATTCAAATCCAATAAAATCAAAGCTAAGCAAATTGGATTGTACCAGTTTCATTTATTCAGTCTTGACTTGTAAACTCCTGAATTTATATATATGTATATTATTTTTTTTTCAAGTGAAAGATGTGAAATTGTGTGAACAAGGGCACGGTGGGGTATTCACTTCAAAGGAATGACTTCAATACAATGGCTACTGTATCAGAGGAATTAAGCGAATGCGAGAGAGCCTATATAAGGCCTACTACTTTCCTACATAGATAGCTAGCTACCTAGTTCTTGAGATGGAATACAATTATTTAGACATTTTAGGACCTACGAATACCTACGAATACGTAGGTAGGTGCTACGTCTTCTGTCTTCTGTCTTCTGTATCCTTCTCGAACCAACAGAAATGGAAGATAGTTCTCGGAAGATGGTTCTCGGAAGATGGTTCTCGGAAGATGGTTCTCGGAAGTAGGTGGGTGGTTTTTCATTGGGTTGGGATGGCTGGAGATGTCTATCTACCTATCTATCTATTCTATTCTATCTTATTCTATTTTATTCTATTTTATCTTATTCTATCCTATCCTTTCCTTTTCTATCCTTTTTTATTCTATTCTATGCTATCCTATCCTATCCTACTCTTTCCTACCCTTTCCTACCTTTTCCTATCCTTTCCTACCCTTTCCTACCCTTTCCTACCCTTTCCTACCCTTTCCTACCCTTTCCTACCCTTTCCTTTCCTCTTCTATTCTATCCTATTCTATAGATCGTATAAAGCGAATAAGTCATTCGCTCTGAATCGGTAGGTGTTTGTTTAGTTTTATGGATTCAAGTCAAGTCAAGTCAAGTCGAGTCAAGTCAAGTCAAGTTAAGTCAAATTAAATTAAGTCTAGCTGGAGTCAATTCTAGCTGGAATCAATTATTATATTAGTGAATTGTATTTTAAGTTAGTGTGATTAACTAGGTTTTGATTGTGGTATTGAATTGAATTGAATTGAATTAAGATTGAGATTGAGATTGAGATTGAGATTGAGATTGAGATTGAGATTGAGATTGAGATTGAGATTGAGATTGAGATTGAGATTGGGTGATTTATATATTTAGGTATAGAATGGGGTGGGTTGAGGGGGTTATTGGGAAGATGGGGAGATGGGGTGGATGGAGAGATGGAGAGATGGAGAGATGGAGAGATGGAGAGATGGAGAGATGGAGAGATGGAGAGATGGAGAGATGGAGAGATGGAGAGATGGAGAGATGGAGAGATGGAGAGATGGAGAGATGGAGAGATGGAGAGATGGAGTGGGGTGGAATAGGAGAGTGTTTTTTGAATTTTGTGTAATGTATAGTATAAATTATATGTATATTGTTGTTGTTGATTTGGATTATTATATATTTGTCTTGTATAAAGATTTCGCTAAAATATTATAGTTTCCTGGGAATCAGTAAATACAAAGACAAGTATAAGAACAAGAAGAAGGTATCTATCTATATTATCTCACATCAAATCATTCCATCCCATACTCTGTAAATTAATTCATAAATGCATTTACCCATCCAGCTCCTCTCCTAAATAACCTTCACAAACCCCACCTCGACCAATCCCTCCACCGGCAAATCCAAATCCGCCATCTTCCCCCTACTATTCTCTCGAATCCACAAGAAAACCCATAATACCGCTCTGCGGATCCAATTCTTCACCCCGCTCCCCGGTCGAATCTTCATCTGTTCTTTGCCTAGGACATAGACGATTTGATTCGCAGCTGCGTTGGTGATCCCGTCTAATTCTTTCTGGATCGCGGGGGTATGCAAGATACTCGTCGCGGGGGAAGATTGGTCTGGCGACTGAGAATGCGGGGTCGATGGAGCGGGAGAAATGAGACTGCGCTGCAGTCCCGAGAAGGTCCCCGGATCCCGCGTGATGAAGAGCGTGAGTTGGGATATGAGGGTGGAGCCGATAGACGGCGTGATGATATCGTCGGTGTAGCCGTGGCGAATGGTGATGCGATAACAGCCTGGGATGGAGGTGCGTTGCACGACGTAGCGTTCCTCGTCTGGGACGTGGGGGATGGAGAGCGGACGCATGTGGAGAAAAATGATGATTTCGGGGGTGGCGCAGAATTTGCGGACGAATTGGGTGAAGACGATGGGGAGCTGGTCGCCGATTTTATCGAAGAAGATGCCGACGCTGGGGACGGTGGTGATGGGGTGGGAACCATATTCTGCGGTGAGCCAGGAAGTTGGGGAGTCGGAGTTGAGAGAGGTGGTTATGAAGCTAGATGGGGGGATGCGGTCTTGGGCTTCCGAGGTCCATTGTTGTTCTTTTCCGTAGCGCCAGAGCACGAAGATGCAGGAGAGGATGAAGGCGAGGAGCAGGGTGAACCATGCGCCGGTGGGGACTTTGATTAGGGCTGCGGAGAGGTAGACGCCGTCGAGGGCGGCGAAGACGAGGAAGAAGATGAGGACTATGAGGACGTTTACGCGCCAGATAATTATGGCGACGAGGGAAACCATGCAGGTTGTTATGAAGGTTACGAAAATTACGCAGACACCGTAGGCATTTCCGAGACGTGTTGTCTAGTGTTGGGTTAGTGCCATGTATTGAGTTTTGGGGGTGGGTTAGTGTGAAAAGGAACTCACGTTACTATATACCGCGGTGACGACGACGGTACCGATCATAAGTAGCCAATTTGCAAGTGGCATATACACTTGACCGTGAAATAGCTTCGAAGTATGAACGGTTTTGATGTGTGGAAAATAAGATAATCTCATGACCTGTGACAGCAATTGAAAACTAGCCGTAATCATAGCTTGTGAAGCAACAATCGCGGCTAAAATTGCAATGACAAGAGAGAAATCTGAATCATGTTAGTCGAGCTTCCATACAGGTAGAAGATGTCTATAAAACTCACAAAATGTCCCGGGCGGAACCGTATTAAAGAAAGGATTCGTATAAGCAGTTTTCGTAACATCCTGAGAAATATATGCAGCTTGTCCAATATATGCCAATAACAAACAAGGATAAGTAAAGCCCAGCCAAGAAATTTGAACGGCTCTTTTACTAAAAGCTCCCAAGTCTGCAAAGAGTGCTTCGACTCCGGTAAATGCGAGTAAGAGTCCGCCGAGTGATTTCCATCCTTCCTCTTTGTTTCTCATAAAGTATTGTCCTGCAAAATAAGGAGAAAATGCTCTGAGAACAGTGTGGTCGTACTGAGCTAAGTTGTAGATGCCAGTGCACATGTTGAATAGTAACCAGATCATGACTATTGGGGCAAATGTGGTTGCGATTTTTGTGGTTCCGAAAGGTTGAATAGCAAATAGTAGAATGAGAATGGCGCAAGTTGTGCCGACAATTGTACTGGTGCTGATATTTGGTTGTGCAACTTCAATTCCTTGAATGGCTCCCAGTACAGATTGGGCGGGTGTTAAGATTCCATCTCTGGTAGTTGTTAGAGGAGTAGCTTCTTGTACTTTCCCATTGAACTTACGACATGACCATACTAACACCTAGCACACCCAAGAATTTTAAAACCACTCTAGCAACTGCGGATCCCTCGATAAATGTTCGTACATTTTTATTCGAAGCTTTCAAATCATTCGTTTGATGCCGTTCCATCTTGACCATTCCTGAGATATTCGGGTCTTGTCGAACGATGTGTGCATAACGGGCCAGTAAACTGTATAGAGCGAATGTTCCTCCTTCTCCATCATCATCCGCAGATAATACGATGAAAACATATTTGACCGAAACCATAAGTGTGAGGGTCCAGATTATTATGGATAGGGCGCCCACGAGATCCTCGTATGAAGGGTGACTTGTGAAAGTGGAAGAGTAGACATATAAGGGACTTGTGCCTGTGATTAGAATGGTAAGTTATTGTGGTTTGTTGGTAGGGAAGCGAAAGCATACCTATATCTCCGTAAATGACTCCAGTACTTTGATATGCGAGCCACATAAGCATCCATCCTGTATATGTCTAGAAGAGATTAGAATGAGCAGAATAGTATGAAGACTCGCTTGCTGAAGAGAGACGCGGAATCCCCAATATAGAATCAAACCCCCCCGGAATTGCTTGAATGTTAACTAATCACACACCTGTTTCTTCTTCTTGTTCAAATCTTCATTAGCAATCTCTAATGCCTTCTCCTCAAAGTCATAACTAGATGCCATTTGAGATACTTTTGATTCCGCTAAAACATCACCAAATGCCAATCCATTTGATCTGTTTGACCTAACAGGTTTTATTTCATCTCGAAACTGGATGTGCTGAGGTGAATCTGCCATTTTAGTACTGATGCTCGAGAATTATGTTTGTCCTCCGCTCGAGCTATTGATACGATCCGAACAAGTGCTGAAGAAGCTGCACTCGGAAAGGAAATCAAGTGTACAGAAAGCGATGAAATGGTAAAAGATTAAGCATAGAAGAAAGTTTCCTATGATACCTAGCCATGGGAATCTGAATTCACTTATACTATACCTACCTAGACACACTGATAACGATTCTATTTTTTTTTCTTAAATCTCATCCCACCTCGAGATTTTAAGGTAATGCTATCCATTGGCCAATTGCCCATCCGCCAGGGGTTCTACAATTGACATCCCCACAGCTGACATCGAACTATCAATGACACCTGAGCTCTATTCACAGTGATACCGTTGACAATTTGAATTAATCACTGGATTTGGTCGTCTTATCTCAGAGGATTCAAGCCATGAACTTTTTAATGAGGTACGAAATTAGGAATTTTCTTATCCTCGCCTCCGGATTCGAGCAGGCTAAAATCCCTCATGTATTACAAAAATGCCTCATATCCAGCTCCACGCCTCTTGCGGCAAGAACCAACTTTGCGAGGGTGAATTCCGAGGCTCATGCACAAGCGAGAATCAATCTGGGTGATACTGCAACTTGGTGATCTTTTGTGGCGGAGTGGGATGTATGATAATGTGATGTTGTGATCTACCTAGGTAATGTGTTTGTATAATGAAGATTCAGCTCTGAAGCCTCTGATGTATGTTGGAGGTACATTGCGCTCCATCCGAATTATCTATTATGCCAATAGATTATTCAAGGCTTGATTCTTGTAAGGGCAGGTATCAGAGCTACCTACTTATCTTTGAGGTAGCAATCATTTCACAACCAATTGTTCAGTGTCGAGGAGATTGTCTGGCTGTCGAGGTTATTTGGGAATCAGCTGTTTACCGCCTTTATTTTCTGCCACATCTTCATTTCTTGGAAAATCCAAAAATAATGCTGAAAACTGTGAGTCTACATCTTTCTGTGATCATTACCCCGTGTTATTGCGACTCAATTATGTTCCTTTTCGTCCTCAAATAAACTGGTCGTTGCAACTTCATGTAAATCCACATCGGAAAGTGTTGCGTCGAACTTACAAGACCACTCCCTCACTGGCTGTATGTGTGAGTACTGTTGGAAAGGATAAATCAAGAAATTCAGAAGTCTACATACACCACCTCTCATGTCATGTACAACCCATACTGTACATTGTCTTAGATACTCCGGTCATGCCATTCTCTCACGCTTCTGAACCTCTCCATCAAAGAGATATTCATTGCGAAGCATATTTCTCTTGCATAGAGATGATCAACTATCCTTGATCCTGCATACTTCTATGTGAATATGCTCTGCCTCTGCAACATCGTATGCACTCTGCTACGAGTCTCCGTCGCCAATTTAATGCACAGTATCTCCATCATCTTAACATTATGTCTCAGATCTTGATGGCATTCGGTTAAACACAAATCACCTTCTCTAAAATTACCTAGTGCATGACGGTGCTGACTAAGCCCAACCTCCTCTCAACCTCACCTCGTTTTTCAATGTGAATAACTTCATACTTTACAGAGGACGATGGCGCTTGACCGCAGCAAAACATTATCAAAAATCTCTATCGTACTATACATCCATCTAGCTCTCTCGAGATAAGCACATCAGAACTGCAGGGAATTTCAGTACATCAACATATTGCAATATTGTATGAAGTCATTCGCGCTTACCTTGCCTGCCCTGGATATATACATGAGTCAGATTTCTGAAGAGCTCTTTCCATTCTATGTTGCGATACAGGCAAGTGAGATCTTATCAATATAGAATGTTGTTATCTTGCACAATACATTGATTTTCTCACGTTCACACAAAGAAAAGAATTCTCATCAGCCATGTTGTTGTAAAGTTACATTTTTTGGGGCTGAAATAGGACATTCACAGAAGCCGCTAATGCTCTGCTGGTCCAATACATTCCACGCTCTAACCCCTTGTTGCACAATCTGAGAAACTGTAGTATACAATTTAAACCAAGTCGCTGATTTCGCCGCTTTCCTCTGGGTTGGTTCTTCGGCCAATGTTTTTGGATGCTTGAGCGTAACCATTACCCCAGATTTTAGGAAGATCTCCTTGAGGGTACTGGTTCATCTCAGCGAGCAAATCTTTGACCCTTTTCATTTCGTTCTCCATCTTAACTCGATGCGCGCGTAACTTGTCGCATTCCTTTACATAAGTTGTCGCGAGCTCCTCCTCCTCCTCCTGTATCTTATGCAACTCTTTCTCAAAAGTAGACCGTTCCTTGGTACGAACAAAAAGTTTTCTCTGGATTCGATTCTTTTCCACCATAAGATTTAATTTCGATGTTCTGTACTCTTCGGAGGCGCTTTCTTCATCTTTTTGCAACCCATCTTCTGTAAAATGTACCCAATTCTCATAAAAACGCTGTCTTTCTTCACTATTGGCTACCATTCCAAATACTCCCAATTGTTTCATCAAATTTTCCCTGTGGAAGAGTGTCGTTCCAAGAGTCTTGCCAAGATTTGTGTTGTCTCTTTTAGGCGTAGGAACTTCGAATTCGGGAACTCTTCTATCATGGGCATATTTTGATACATCAGGATAATTTGCCAGGTTCTTCCTGAGTCTTCTGATACGTATCATCTCTTCTCTTGTGCGAATAATGATACGGGTGGGAGGAACGTGGGGGGCGGTTGTAGTCGCCGTTGGGGTCAATGCTGCGGGCATTGTTGGAGATGTTTGAAAATTGATAACAAAGAGGATGATATATACAGTAAATATGTGTTTATGTCGTTGTTATCGATGTCAAATGAAGTGTGTGATGATATATTCAAGGTTAATGTTGTCAATGTGGTTGTAATGTTGAATATATGCTCGAAATGTTGTCTGAGTATGATCCAAGAGAAATGGTTTCAAGGGAGGGAAATTTCAGTACTTATGCACAATATTTCCATCTGGACCAGATAGTCTTTTCATTTGGTCAAGACTAGCTTGGTATTAGGCTTAAAGTTAAAATCTATCTACGTCAATCAAATTTGCATATTTCAGTGTTAACCTTTGAGCCAGCGGGGTAAGTTAGGCTCATACTGGAATGATTTCGAGCTTGAAATTAGACTTGACATTGATTTTTACTCAGCTTCGATCTATTTTGTATTACGACATGTTCTAATGTGAACCAGCAGGGTTTATTGGACAATAGGTTACCATTACCAATGAAAAATATCTCCAACTTTTAGTTTGCAACAACGGGGTAGTTTCAAGCAGACTGTCGTTATCAAAACATTAGCAGAATCTCTATGCATGAATCGAAGATGATAGTACCGAAGTTCAGACTCTGGAAATCTTGAAGAGCCTCGCTTAACCTATTTGAGTACTATCGGTTGTTAAGCGCGACTCGGCGCCGTTGGTAGTTGTTGGACTGCCCACCACATATGATGCTCAGAACAAAGCAGAATACTCATATGCCTTTGCGTATCGAGACCGGGATCATCAAGTAAACAGCCTAGTGGGATGAGTAGATCTGAAGAAGCATGCAGGAGTCACAAGCGTTTTCGGCTTCTACATGGTGTCAAATTCTGCCATAGTGTTTGTAATTTCAAGCGCACCTATTTCGAATGATTCTGGAGACTCGAAAAGACACCAAAAAATGCAATGTACTTCATTACAGTGTCGAATTAATCCAACAGAGTGGAGCCAAGTGATGCTATCTGGAGTAAAATATACGCAATTGTTTTATTCAGGTCACACAATCACAGTTCTTCATCACTGAACCTATAATACCTACCCCTCATAATCACCATACTAAAATGAATTCCCCAGCACACTACACTTCTCGCCAATTTATCCCTGAAATGGTCTTTGATAAACGAAATTAAAAAGTATACTAGTTATTGAAGATTGTAAGCAGCCAATCGACTCTAATAGAAATAGAAATTAGTTAAGTTATAGATCTAAGAATGAACTAATTCTCTGACCTACTGTGAATTATAATCATGACAGTTTTTCAAACAAATGTTCTCCGATGGGGAAGCTTAGCTTGGGAATATTATTATATTCAACAGATCTGATGTATATCCAACTGAGATGAAAGGTATTCCCATAATCATTTCTCCTGCGTAATGCATGTAGTATGAAGTATAAGTATATCACTCGTATTGAAATCCGAGTGACGCAGATGACTTAGCTTTCTTATTCTCATTTAAATACAGTAAAGTAAACATACCATTTTAAATTCCCCCAAATTTCGTCATCACAATCCGGTCAAATTCGGCCCTAAAAATACATACTACTGGCACTGTCTTTATTCGTAAGAATCCCGAAGAACAGATCATCAATCACTTATCCCAGGTACTTGCAGATCTCCCTTCCACATTTTAGGAATTTCCGTTGTTTTGTTACATTTCTAGTCCCCTTCAACTTGAAAGAGTAAGTGCAACCAAACAGCATCTGAAACTTCCTCTCTTCCCCTGTTCCTTTCCTTTAACACTCCCTTCTTCCCTAAATATCTAGAACCCGAGACTCCGGCATAATGTCTTCGCCAAAAATACAAACACTACAGTAGTAAAGCACTCTATTACCCAAACTTTGTTGCCATAAAAAAGCATACGGCATCGGACCAACACCCACTCATATAATGATCCATCACTCCTTCCCATTTCCACCATCACCGTCCGTACCAGATCATATAATTCCAAACCACACCCCAAGAATTAGTATAATCCTATTCAAAACCATTAAATCCTGCACTTAGCTTCCATTCCCCAAAAATTCCCTCAAAAAAAAGATTCACACAAACCAATCACACGCACACCTTTAAAATAAACCCACTAGTCAATCCCTCCGCTTCAAAAACACAACCCAAAGATTCCAATCTAAAACATGGGGAGATTCGACAATATTCCATATCCAGGAGAAAACCCCCACGCCAACTCCAACACGCCGAGCATCGATTACCTAGGTATCTAAAGTCCTCTAGTCATGATCTAGCGTCCTGATCACTAGTACATAAACTTTATTTTCAATACATCTCACCATAGCCCACGTGCAGGGTCGCAGCCTTCTCGGAAAAATATCTATTTTTATTTATTTATTGAATCTTCCAATCATAACCATCGCTCCACTTTTCCTGGCGTTTGGTAGATTGAATATGGTAGATCGAGGTAAGTGGGCTTGGTATATGGGTCCTGGTAATCTTTACTGCTGTGCTTGGGATTCGCAGATCCTTCTCATTTTCCAGATTATTGTACATTGTATTGACCTAACTTCAGATCTCTGACTTTCAAGGGGTTAAAACATTCTACCTGCACTTGCCTAATCGTGATAACTTTTCCTTCTCAATGACTTACCACCTAGATACATCCATACCCATACACTGATATCTCAAATCTCACCCCCAACCTCATAACCCCTCTCCTCCATAGCCTTCTCCCCTAGAATTCTCCAGCAACTTCCCTTTCCCCTTCTTTCCCCCTCCCTCTCGTAGTCCCTCTTTCCATTTCCTATCAACTTTCAAACACATACCCCTTTCCTTCCAATCCCCTACCCCTACCACAAGCCCTACCCCAAGCCCAACAGAACTCCTAGTCCCTGAAAGTACAATAATCTACATATATAACCTACCACACCAGCACACTCCATCTAGAATATGTTTCCCTTCTCCAGTATCCAGCCGAGTTTTCCTTATCTTCCTCCCCCTTCTTGCCACAAAGTAATTTGAGAGAAAGAAAAGAAAACAAAAGAAAACAAAGAAAATTGAATTCACCATCTCTAGTAGCCTGATCTCAGAACAAGGAAAACACCAGAGGTGTGGTGTCACTTTACCGATGATTCAAATTCTACACAGAGACACAAACTTCACTTTCGTCACAATCACACTCGCACGCCTCACATTCAGAAGAAGCAACCAAAGTGCAAATTCAAATTATTTCAAATTCAGTTATGTAGCTATCTAAAAATCATGCAATTCCAGTGTACTCATCCCATATATGCACAGCATATACCCCATATTTATCCCACGTCTCTCGATTCCTCCGCAAAAACAAAGACAAATACAAAAACAAACGCCCGCATTCTAAGCCCTATGGAATATTGTACACCACCTAATAAGGCCATGTACAAGAAGAACATTAAAAAGATGACAAAAGGAGAAGTATGAAGGATCCGCGGGGTATCGTAATCATGTATCGTAATCTCATTAAGCCGTATCATATCCATCTGAAATGGACCAACCTAGCACTTAACACCTGTACCAGCTCCCTTGAACATTGCAATAGTGGCAGCAAAAGTGTTACGGTTATCTTTGAACACTGCGCCACTCTGTCCGTCAATTGTAACCATGTTTTCAACACCGACAGTTGACAATCCAGTGATGTGAATATTGCCTGAACCCTCAATTGAAAGCATGTTGCTTTGACAGTTAGAAGTCATCAAACAATCTTGGCTGTAGTTATCAAAGAATGAATAGAGACCAGCACCAGTGATAAAGACATCCTCAGAGTTAACGATGCGAACACCCCATGCTTTATCGGCAAGTGATCCACCAGTGAAAGAAGGATCACCATAAACTGAGTTGGTGGTGAAAGGTGTTGTAGAATCTGGATTGGATTGGTAGTAAGGAGTTTCAGTTTGGATGGCTCCCATAAAGACATTGGAGGCGTTGACCAATTGATAGTTGTAAAGAACATTATGCTCACTGGCGGTACCATACATCCAGGTAGGTCCTTCTTCAGAAGCAATCAAGATTCCTCTGCCGTTGTAAAGATCAATTTGAGTGTGATCAGCAAGATCAAGTTCATGATCGGCAACCCAAAACCAGTTGTTCTCAAGGTAGATTGAAGCCTTTTCAGTAACGTGGAGAAGCATAAAGGCTCCAATACATTCTGGGTTGCTGCTGTGAGTTGCGTTTGGATTCTTGGCGCAAGTGTTGGATTGAAGTTGAGTACCAGCACTACCACCAATTCTTGTATGAACATCCCACATTCCTGCTGAGCCTTGAGAAGCCTCCTTGAGATTCCATTCGATAAGGATAGCGCCCGCAGCTGGACCCATAGTTTGGAAAACAATATCGGAGATCTCTACAGAGCCAGTGTCACCAACTTGTCCAACTTGAAAGACGGCCTTTGGATTGGCTTGATCATTGAATCCCTTTGCCATGATCATAGGCCAGATCTCACCAGTGATCTTGATGTTTTTTGGAACCTTGATGGTGTCAGTGACAACATAAGCACCGTGATCGAAGTAAACGACTTGATCAGTGGTAGCCTTGTCGAAGATTGCTTGAATGGCAGCAGTATCATCGGTAGTTCCATCACCCTTAGCTCCATTAGACTTGACACTCAAAAATGAAGAGGCTGGTAAAGTCTCATATTGTGGCTTGGTGCGTCCAAATAGCTTGCCAGTAGAATCCAAGAGGACTGCAGGCTTGGTGACAGCATCTTGAACACCTTGGCTAGCTGCACCAGCATTAACTCCAGTGTAGACCTTTCCTTGAGCCCATGATGCGACTTTGGCGTTTCCGGCAAGGACTGTTGACTTGGAAGTGGCATCATACACGGCAACTGGAACATTGGAAGAGAAGTCGACGTTATCAATAACGAGAGTTCCGTTAGTTCCGGTTTCGGTGACATCGTAAACGGTAGAAATACCGATTGGTGTGTTTACAATGGCACTGTCCATCAATGTAGCCGATCCTACTGCCCGCGAACTGGCACCGCCGGCTGACATATCGAGACCCACACCACAGTTGTTGATGTTGATGTCCTTGAAGGTCCAGAGCCAGGCCCAGTTTAGGTAGATGGCCGTTTGGCAGTTGTTGAAGGTCAAGTTTCGAGAAGTAAACTGTTGGCTACCCAAGAAAGCACCATACTTGCCACCGTTGAAAGTCAAGTCGGCCATGAAACCACCACTGCCATTATCCATGAAGATTCCTTGTTGGTTGTTACCTTCTCCACCATCAGTTCTCATGTTGAAAACAATGTTTTGTAACGATGTAGCTTGAGCAACTTGCCAATGAATACCACTACCAGTTGAGGCAGGCATGGCAGTCAAGTCGATGACAAAGTTTCTGATTTGACGGTAGAAGTTGTTCCTAAAAGTTTATTAGTGACCACACTGAGAGAATAAATGCATCATTAAAACTCACTGATTGGTGAACCAGTTAAATTCAGGATCATATGGGTCTGCATCGAGTAAAGCCATGCCAGCAAAATTGGCAAGACCTTTAATTGTTGGGAGAGTAACAGCATCACCAACAAGTTGAGTGAAATATTGTTGTTTAATAGGAGCTGAGATAGCATATGTTCCAGGTCTATAGGTGAAGTTAGTAATGTACGAGAAGACTCAGGCATACAAAGGGATTAGAGGGTCCAGTTGAACTGGGCAATGTTAAGACAAGGTAGAATGACTTACGGGAAGTAAACGAGAGCAGGGGTAACAGTAGTAGAGTCACAGCCTTTACCACAACGATTACCAGAGGAGATGGCAGAGTTGATGGCAGCGGTGTCATCAGTTACACCTTGATGTGAGTGTTAGTATGATACCATTTGAGAAGAGAAGTAATTGACTTACCATCACCAACAGCACCAAAGTCCTTGACATTTCGGAAGATTTGATATGAAGCATCGCCAAATGGCGCAATACCTTGTCGTTGAATCTACTAAAGTTAGAGATGATTCCCAAGAGTGAGAGAGGTGAAGAAGAATGAATAAACTTACTGAAGCAAGCCAATAACTGCTGGAAGCTGATGCGGTAGTAGCCACTGCATCAGTTGGCACAGGAGTAGGAGCACCGGAAACGATGAAGAAGAAGCGTAGAGCCAATAAAATGGAAATGATTGAGAAGGAAGCCATCGTGAAGTAGTACCAGCTGCTGCAGGATGTCGACGTCGATGTGGTATCTGTAAAAGAATGTAGTTTCTGCCAGGGGTAAAAAGTTCAATCAGTATTTATGTTGGTGTTGTGTAGTGGTGGTGAGGCAGTTGTAGAAGATGAAGGATAAAATCCTGTCTCTCGTTTGTTTCTTGTCACTTTTATGGGAAAGAACGATGGTTCGACTTGATACCAGCATTCACTCGTAAAAGTAGCTCTGTTGTGATAATAGATTTCCAATCCCAATCTCATATAGAAGATAAGATTGAAAGACAATGTTGATAATGAGGGTGATATGATTAGGATTGGTGGCTGATTTTATATTATGGTGGTCGTGGCCGGGAAAGGAACAATAGGATTAAGCGGGATGAATTGTGATTGTCTTGAGGGGGTGAATCGAAATTCTGAAGCTATTCAAATCATACGACTCGACCTCATGACAAACATATCATCAAACAACCAAATGATCAAACAATCAAAACCTTCAAACAACAAGAGGAATGGAGATTAGCATTCGATGCCAAGGAGATGAACTCACAAGTTTGGAATTATGTCGTCGAGAAAAGAAAGAAGGTTTGAAGAAATGAATGTGTGGCCTGCCAAAAGGTGTAAAATGATGATAATTAACATGTTGGCGGCGGCCCGTGATCTTTATATCTTTAAGATCGACCGTCTTCATTTCATCCGGTCTCCCATCCCATATCTCAAACAAACCATCTTGAGCACAAAGAGTGGCTTCCTTGGTATGCTCTCCATATTGTCTAAGCGGACTGTTCGAAGGATGGCTCATGACTGGGGAGGCAAGCTTCCGAATCCAATTAAGGGTATATCAGTGCTTCACTCTCCCGGGAACTTAATATGGTTATTAAGTGGCAAGTGCTTCAAAATACTCTATATCGCCGCTTGTATTGGAAAGGTACAGCCGCAACCCGTCACTGGGGAGGATTTGATTCGATGTTGTTGAGATAATTTAGGTTGTTCTACCCTGGTGTGTTTGCTAGTGCGGCAGGGGTTCACTGATGCTCCCGTGATGAGTCGACGACAGAGAGGGTGTACACTGGATATAGATCAGGATACTTGGGTAGTCCCTTGACAGTCTCATCTAGTAGCAGTGCCGAGAATGTGGAGGGTCAAAGATTGAGCGAGAACAGAGAAGAGTTGAAACTTGGTGTTTCTTCACGATACGCGGTTGCTGGATCTTGATTGGTACTTCGGACATTTGTTGTGGCGGCTCTTAATTTCCCAAGCTACTTTTTTATCCTACCAAAGAGAATCTTCGAAACGCGATCAAGCTTTCAAATGCGGGAACTTTTTCAAAATATATGGGGAAGAAGAACGGACGGATCTCATCGCATAAACGCGTCGTCGATCCTTCCCCTTCTTTTTAATATAAAAATTTCAATACTCCAAGCCGAATCCCTTTTCGACCTTCCGAAGTCGTACAAACACGATCCAAAATGGTCATGTAATATAAATTCATCCCATCGACAGCAGTTTCAACATAGTTGCCGTGTATTGTTATGCCTGCCCTGATTAATCAATTCGTGAATTGTTTTCTACGCCCAAAGGCTACCTACAGCTAAGAGGAACGATAAACCCTATAATCATTATCAGCCCCTCCCTGGCACAGAGCATTATTTTGCAGCCCAATATATGCGCACCATTTCTTGGTTTGTTTCAATCAAAAATTTTGCTCGCGGCTTTGTTGGTCAATAATTGTTGGATGTTTCATGGGGTCTTCAAAGGGGTGCGTCTATGAAACACGGGATGTAGCAGGATCGTTGTTTGGATGAACCGGGTTCGTACTTTTGCTCTATTTTGTGTATTCCATGCAGTTTCGTCGCCTCCTATCAATTTTTTGGGAGTCTACATATTCCAATGTAGATATCGCTTCACCACAGAACCGATTTGTTACACGCAGAGAGCAAACTTACATCAGGGGCGGGGTGTTGCTTGATATCACGTGACAGGTTCGGTTCCAATTTTGGCTAAATAATTGGGTGGCAGCGCTCAAGTCCGGTGCTCACCAATTAACCCCAAAAGAGACTTTTTGTTTTAGACTTTCTCATGACCTTTGAGTGTCACTTCTCACCAGCCTCACCAACCTCACCACTTTGGATGACTGACATACTGGTATTCAATTGTAATAATTTTGAACAATCAAATTCACGTGTTCAATATCATCTGTGTTTAATAGGAATATTTTAGTTTTCAATCTTAATAAGACGTGTGACATGTGCATTTCTCTATGACGCGATATGATATAATTGTGCACCTTGATATAACGATCATTTCGGAATTCTAATTTCAACTTGAATAATATTAATCCATTCACTGCGTTGCAGTTTTGCTACAAATCTTACAATAACAATTATTAGACAGGACAGGATATTTCTGTTAAAGTAATGGTTTAGAAGTCACCAGTACCTACCTACTACATGAGAGTGATATGTTATAGTAAAGTGAAATGTATGACCATGAAGTGAATTGCATATGTACTTGGATTTAATCAAAAGCCGGCGGCGAGAAGGCAATTTCTTTCACAAAGTCCGCTGCCACGACAGGCTGCTGTATTCCTAGTCTAAATCAGAACGATCGATTCTTTGGTACCAGCTCGAACCCGATCGAGAAGTTTCATCGACGCATCAACGAGAGCTATACCTGCTCTCATAAATATTGAATTCCCTCTTTCGTCTTCTTCAAGATATTTTAAGGCCAAGAAACTTGGATTCTCGGCATACTCTTCGGATTTTAGGGTCCCAACAAACATGAGGAAGAGCGAGTCGTACTTCTCGACTTCAATTGCAGATTCGGTGGGCTTCTTTGGATCATAATAATATGGATCTAGATTCACTCTGATCTTTAAACTCCACAAAGCCCATTTCTTCTCCTTAGGCTCAGTGGCTTCGTAAGCTGATATCGAATATGGCTCGCAGCCCATCGCGTTTATAGGTATAAGAACTGCTTTAACCTCAAGCTTACCTCCAAGAACCCCACCAAAAGCGTTGCTGCCGGAAATTTGAATACCCACAGAGACGAGTTCAAGGCCAGCCTTAAATTCTTTATCTTTATGATCGTATGTTATACCGCCACTGCGTATAGAAGCCCAGCTCCAAGAAGGCAGGCGCTTCTCGCTTTCTGTATCATCTTCGCTGAATTTTTCTGCAGTCCAGAGGAATGCGTCTGGAAGTTGACTTCTCCATAACCCGGCGTAATAATCGTCTTGAGTCATGTCATGCAAGAGTTTTACTATCCCAGATATGGCAGGTAGCTTATCAGTCTGATATGTGAGGGAACGGTGACTGTAATCCTCGACCATAGTGTACCAATTAGAATATATATTTTTGTAAGCTTCCCTAATCGGTGAGGACTGAAGCTTGAAATCAAAATACATGTTAAGGAAACTTGTTTCTGATTCGAAGTTTGAGAATCCTGTCCGACATTCACAAGTGCTACACTCCCTGCAATCCCATAGCATCTCATCCTTTGCGAAGGACAGAGTACGTTTCGCAAGTACTTGCTCTTGCAACACCCACCCACGTCTCCTTAGCTCACTATTATGCAGTCCATGTGATTCAAGCCGCCCGTTTGCATCATGAACAGAAAATTGGGTTTGGATTCTACGTGCATAGAGAAAGTATTGGCAGTTATCTGCGTCAAGGTATGGCAACTTTAGGCTCTTGGTCCGATTTTCAAGAAAGAAACCCCCGTTAGGGTCTCTTGCTTCCGTGGCGGCTAAAACTAAGAATGCCGACATATATACATCGCTCATACGAGAACTCTCAATTTGCCAGTCTTTCAGTGAGTCTTGCATTATGCACAAAGAGTCGATCCATAGATAAGGTATCCCCAGCTCTCTGGTAATCATAACAGCATCGAACAAAGTCTTTGGCAAGGAATCCATGGGGATTCTTTTCTTGTAGACTGACAATTTAGCATGGGTAAGTTTGATGTCTTCAAGAATTGTTGAATCTCCCCAACAGTAACTGAGAGCAGCAAAACTTCCGCTTAAGTTCTTTGTTTCAATCAATTTGACTGAAACATTTGAGATTCCAACATCGATGACACGTGTTGGAATTTTTAGGCCGCCAATATCATCCAAATTGCATCTTCGATGTGTTTCGCAGTTTGCAATCCAACTTTTCGCTGTTTGTAAGGATTCAGGCAAGGAGTTCGAAACTTCTTGCGCAGTGGTGATAAATGGTAATGAAAGGCCACCTGTAGTACGAGAAAAGTGACAGTCAGCTGCAATTCATGCAAGTCAGCGTAAGGAGAATTAATCCTTGTTCTTGACCTCAACGTACAGGATGTAGGCTCATACGCATTCCTGTATAATTCAATAACAGACGGTCTTTCCCACTGGCTCTGTCCTATTGAATACCTCTGGACACCACCAATGTCTTTCACCTTTAAGCATACGCTGAGGGGCGAATCTTCGAAGTGGCCTTTGCCCAATGCAGCTACAGCTTGAACCACAAGTGTACAAAGACAACAACCTTCACGAGCAGCTTCAAGAACAGGTTTTATCCACCGTGTCCGAGTAACGTTAGGTCTGTGAGATTTGTCAAATATCGAACCTTCTATCCAGTATTCTTTGCCTCGGTATTTTTGATTAAGGATGCTGCTACGTGTGTCGTAATCACCATTTTCCTGGAATATCCTCATGTCATCGCATACATAGCAGACCATATTGGCTCTATGATGAGGTTGAGGAATACTGTTGACCGTCTCGACAAAGATATTGAATTTTTTTATTTTGTTAGATTCACTAGCTTGGATCAGTTAGCATTAGATCTTTGGCTAGCTTAATCATGAATACATACTAACTACAGAATATTCACACATGAACTTATACCTTTTGGATTGGAAAATATCAGAATCGGTAGAGTTGTCGGAGGAAAGGCTAGGGTCTCCTTCTTGGTCAAGTTGAGATGTGGTACTGAGAAGAGAAGGAATTTCGTCCATCGACTCAGATTTACGTAGCTCCATCTGGTAATATTTATATGTGGAAGAAAAACTTGCAGGCGTTGCGTGGGATATCGCTTTACTTATCCTATTCGCGGGCGTTGAGGAATAGATATGATGTATAAAACGACGCAGTGTAAAGCTTGTAAGGTTTGCAGATGTCAAAGAAATGATCGAGAGATAATGGTAATATCCGGAGATTGTTAGTATGAATTTGACATATTCAGGAACTCTACTGCTTTGATAATGGTGACGACGACGACGGTAGTGTGTTTCATCGGAAAGAGGAAAATCATTCTCTCTTCTGTTGACCCTTCGGCCCCCGCTTGCCCGACCTGCATCATGATAAGTCGGCATACCCAATGGACTTCACCAGCTGGCTAGCGCTTATGCAGCTTGATGGTAAACTACCTAACCTTCATGCATTTTCTGGAATTCATCACAGAAATGAACAAATCGGTGGATCTACATTTTGGTTGGGTAGCCGGCAACTAACTGGGCACTTCATACCTTATGATGAAATCTATTGACAGAAAGAGGTTAACCTATCTTCACAAGTAGTTTTAACATATTTCCACAGTATTGATTGCGTGATCTCATGGGAAAAATACACATTGACATTGATACATACACTGCCACATGGCAACCTTGAGAGTTCAGAAGTAGACAGTTGAGTACAGATTGTCAATGAACAAGTCAACGAAAGAGTCCAGGTAAGCAAACAACCGATCTAATATCATTATCTTATGAATTTGATTGTAAGTCGTATTTTCAGCAACGAACAATTAGCAACGGTAGACCATGGCATATTCTGTTGTGGAACCGAAGAATCAACGAGCCGGACCATGCTGCTAGTGTGTGTAAAATCTAGACGTCAGGTTATGAGAGAGAATAGTGAAATAGTCACCTCTCGCCCCTTAGATCTTCATCTCCAACCATGCACCACCAGATTGTAAATGTGTGTGATGTGATCTACTAATACGAAAAGAAGCATCTAAGCTGCCAAGACTTAGCTTGCTTTCAATAGGGCTGGCAGTCTGGATTCTCTTCAGTAGCTGTCAAGCCTATTCATGGCCTAGAGGTCTTAGGGAGGGGCCAAAAAGACAAACGTTTTCATCACCGACACTGCATTGACCGGTTTAAGGCCAAATAGAAGCATCTCGAATCAAGAATTTAACGCAACGATGATATGATAGTTATGAAATATAATGGAATCGAAATCAAAGGAACCTCCAAGGACTTCAAGGACTCCAGACTCCCTCAAACTTACTAGAAGCTTCCGAGGCACGTGATATTACCAATACGAGCCTCATTCACCAGCCTCAATTGTGAAGCACAGTACAGAAATCGGTCCAAGTTTTTCCCCGCTGATAAGATGAGCCACTCCGATAAACCAAAATGAGATTCTAGAGGGGAAAGAAGAAATCCATAGAATTTGAGTGTTTGATTGATAAAAACAATAGGGAAATGTAAAGTCATGTGAATTTTATCTCTCTTCAGAGGATGTTCGTAAGATTACTAATACATCCATACCTAACTAGTAAGGAGAGAGACATTTTGGTTTCGTATTGACTGTTTGCATTCGATTGAAAAAGAACTAACAGCTACCTAGCTATATAATTCTAAAAAGTTCCATATACATCACATCGTTTGTATTGCCTTGTCATGTTTTCTCCTTCGTTGATTGGTTGATTTAGAAGTGGCGCGTTGCTAGGTGGTCTAAAAAAGGTTAAGCGACTAGAAAGTTCCTTACAATTCTACCATTTTCTACAGCGAGCCTTTCCATAAAATCCCCAATACCCTTCAACGAAAAGTCAATTCTCTTTTTTTCTTCAAACCATTCAAAGATACCCTTCCTTTCTACTTTCTGTCTATTAGACTTCTACAATACGATACACTTAACGACTTAACGAATACCATCAACTGTAAGTTACTCTCAATAACCTTCCTGTGTCGAAGTAACCCCTCGACCTACCATCAAGAAACTCCTTAGAGAGCTCAGCCTCGAAAGAGAAAGAAATCCCAGAGAGCTTCGGACGATTACTTGTATTCTACAAAAGATTGACAAGAAGCTCAAGAAGCTTGTACAACTTCATCTTCATCAAGAAATTCATACTAATCTACCCTCTTCCTACAGTTTCTCCGTTTTTACATACACAATCACAAATATGGCTGGCGAAACTTTCGAGTTCCAAGCTGAGATCTCTCAGTTGCTCTCTCTCATCATTAACACAGTTTACTCAAACAAGGAGATCTTCTTAAGAGAACTTGTTTCCAACTGTTCCGATGCTCTCGACAAGATCCGTTATGAGGCTCTCTCAGATTCCAGCAAGCTCGACAGCGGTAAGGATCTCCGCATCGACATCATCCCAGACAAGGAGAACAAGACTCTTACCATCCGCGATACCGGTATTGGTATGACCAAGGCTGTAAGTACATTCGTAGGCAAAGACTCCAAATCATTTGCTAACCAATAATTCAGGATCTCGTCAACAACCTCGGTACGATTGCACGATCTGGTACCAAGCAATTTATGGAGGCTCTCACCGCAGGTGCTGATATCTCTATGATTGGTCAATTCGGTGTTGGTTTCTACTCTGCATACCTCGTCGCCGACAGAGTTACTGTCGTCTCGAAAAACAACGATGATGAACAATACATTTGGGAATCCAGTGCTGGAGGAACTTTCACTCTCACTCAAGACTCTGAGGGTGAGCAACTCGGCCGTGGTACCAAGATCATTCTTCACTTGAAGGATGAGCAAATGGATTACTTGAACGAGTCCAAGATCAAGGAGGTCATCAAGAAGCACTCCGAGTTCATCTCATACCCAATCTACCTTCACGTCTCCAAGGAGACTGAGACTGAAGTTCCAGATGAGGAGGCTGAGGAGACCAAGGAGGAGGATGAGGAGAAGAAGGCCAAGATTGAGGAGGTCGATGATGAGGAAGAGGCCAAGAAGCCAAAGACCAAGAAGGTCAAGGAGACCAAGATTGAGGAGGAGGAGCTCAACAAGCAAAAGCCAATCTGGACCAGAAACCCATCCGACATCACCGCTGAGGAATACGGTTCATTCTACAAGTCCCTCTCCAACGACTGGGAAGATCACTTGGCTGTCAAGCACTTCTCCGTTGAAGGTCAACTCGAATTCCGTGCTATCCTCTTCGTTCCAAAGCGTGCTCCATTCGATCTTTTCGAGACCAAGAAGACCAAGAACAACATCAAGCTTTACGTTCGTCGTGTTTTCATCACTGATGATGCCACTGACCTCATCCCTGAGTGGTTGAGCTTCGTCAAGGGTGTTGTCGACTCTGAGGATCTCCCACTTAACTTGTCCCGTGAGACCCTTCAACAAAACAAGATCATGAAGGTCATCAAGAAGAACATCGTCAAGAAGGTTCTTGAGCTCTTCCAAGAGATCTCTGAGGACAAGGAGCAATTCGACAAGTTCTACGCTGCTTTCGCCAAGAACATCAAGCTCGGTATCCACGAGGACTCCCAAAACAGAGCTGCTCTTGCCAAGCTCCTCAGATTCAGCTCCACCAAGTCTGGTGATGACATTACCTCCCTCTCAGATTACGTTACCCGTATGCCAGAGCACCAAAAGAACCTCTACTACATCACTGGAGAGTCTCTTAAGGCTGTTCAAAAGTCACCATTCCTTGACTCCCTCAAGGCAAAGAACTTTGAGGTTCTCTTCTTGGTTGACCCCATTGATGAGTACGCCATGACTCAACTCAAGGAGTTCGAGGGTAAGAAGCTTGTTGATATCACCAAGGACTTCGACCTTGAGGAGACTGATGAGGAGAAGAAGACTCGTGAGGAAGAGGAGAAGGAATTCGAGGGTCTTGCCAAGGCTCTCAAGAACGTCCTTGGTGAGAACGTTGAGAAGGTTGTTGTTAGCCACAAGCTTGTCAACGCTCCTTGTGCCATCCGTACCGGTCAATTTGGTTGGTCCGCTAACATGGAGCGTATCATGAAGGCTCAAGCTCTCCGTGATACCTCTATGTCATCATACATGTCCTCCAAGAAGACTTTCGAAATCTCTCCAAAGTCACCTATCATTAAGGAGTTGAAGAAGAAGGTTGAGGCTGATGGTGAGAACGACCGTACCGTCAAGTCAATCACTCAACTTTTGTTTGAGACTTCCCTTCTCGTTTCCGGTTTCACCATTGAAGAGCCAGCTGGATTTGCCGAGCGTATTCACAAGCTTGTCTCACTCGGATTGAATGTTGAGGAAGATGCCGAGACCACCGAGGATGCTGCCGCTACCACTGAGGCAACTTCGGATGCACCAGTTGAGAGTGCTATGGAGGAGGTTGACTAAATTCAAAAAATGGCTTGGTTTTTGCGGGATAGTGGAGTTTAATGGTTGGTTTTTCGGTCATGCATTGAGCCTGATTCCTATTTCCCTTTTGATGCTCATTTTTTTTTCATTCCACATGGTCTTAATAGATACATGAGGTATAATCTTAAAAATGTACTTTGTGATAAACATTGCGCGTTAAGACAAAAGAAAAGAGATAGCAGAATACAAAATATTTACTGTACTTTTGTGTGTTTTGTGTGTTTAATTGATATAATTTTGAGTGACGATGGAATTTCTTCTTGCGTATATTCGTGTGACAATATATTATTCTCCCTACGATCATGTACTAATGATTTTGAATTCTCTCCTTATCGCGTACAAGTGTACTGAAAAGATCCTTTTTGTGTTGGGACGTAGACCAACTCGGACCGGATATGGCGTCTTAAGGTTCGAGGCGTTCCTGAAAAGTTGCACGAGGGGTTACATATGCACAACATGACATCTAGAATTGCTGGGACTGTGTTTGATTTGTAGAACTGAAAACATGCTCATTATCTGCTTTTCCCAGTGGGTTGGGTAATATTCTGATAAATATGATGATGGATGTGGTGAACATCGATGAACATTCTGATCTCTGTTTCCAATAGACTGGTTTGTAACTTTGTCTCAGGGGGTTGTACAGGGCGTAATTTTAGATTGGGAAAGGACGAGATGATTGATATGAACGAATAGGAGGGACCAGATAATGAATTTTCTGTTGTAACTCATAGTTGGGAAGTGCACAACGATAGTAAAGATATATGGGATCTATAGAATCGACGAATAGGAAGCATTAGGGCATTGTTTTGTGAATGGGTAACAGCAGTTTAGTAAACAGGATCTCGTTTATCGAAGCCAGAATTGGGAGATGGGGATACATTATGGTCATGGGAGTTCGTCATCCCGAAAACTAAAGAAGGGATTATATAGGACGATGAGGGTAGTTCCTAACTGCATTCTATAATATCGAATCGAATAGAGAAAATCGAAAAGGACGTCCGTCAATTGACTTTCGGAACGGCACGGTTAGTTGAATCTTGCCCAAATGGGAGTCAGTTGTGTGTGACAGGAATCTTTGCCATGTAGGTTTGATGTGCAGTCAAGGAAGGTACGAGGGGTGAAGTTGCACGATCTGGTTAAACAATATGTACCTTGATGGATGGCAAAGGGAAAGTTGAAGAAATGAGGAGAGGGTATAAATGTACGGAGTTCCCTGATTTGAGGACTTGGATTTTGTTTCTCTCTTCATCACATACACATTGAGCTTTTACTTCTTTTGCTACGAGCCTTGCTTAAAGTACAATACCTTGCAATACAATCCATTCGCTGTTTACAATTCATTTGAATTTCAATCTATCACACACTCTCAATTCAATTCAACTCAATTCATTCCAATCTACTTTCTCAAGTGATCACTCTCTCACCTCTCAAACTTATAATCAACCAACCATCTCACACATATTCAACCGCAACAATGCACCACAAACTCCTCCTAACAATCTCTCTCCTCCCCACTCTCTACGGAGCACCTGCACCTGCACCTGTCCCAGACGTAGCAAATGATAATCATTCACCTTACTACTCTCAACCCTCCGTCTCTGTCCCTTCTCTTCCTGCCCCAGCCGTCCCATCAGTTCCTGCTGCTGGTGGTAGTACTGGTAGTAGTGATCCACTTGGACAAGGTGGTCTTTTAGGTGGTCTCCTTGGTGGTCTTGGTGGTCTAGGTGGTGGTGGTGGAACTGCTCCAGTTGCAAGTATCCCAGCTTTGCCTGCTCCAAGTGTGCCAATTTTGCCGACAAGTCATAATTATCCTACACCTGTTCCGCAGGTTTCGGCTACTTTGCCTCTGGGTGGAGGAGGTCCAGTTGTTTCTGCTACGATTCCTATCGGTGGAGGAGGTCCAGTTGTTTCTGCTACGATTCCTATCGGTGGAGGAGGCCCAGTTGTTTCTGCTACAATCCCTATCGGTGGTGGAGGTGTTTCGATTGGTGGCGGCGCATCGGCTTCTGCTACTATTCCTATTATTTCTGCTACTCTTCCAGCTGTTGGTGGTGGCTCAGGATCGAGTGTGGGATATAATGGTGGTGGCGCTAGTGGAAGCAGTGGAAGTGGACCTGGCATATCTGTTTCAGTACCTATTCCAACCGGTGGTATTTCAGTTGGTGTTGGAACTTCAGATGCAGTCACTGCTTCACTTCCTGGTGCTACTATTTCTATAACACAGCCTGTTGGACCAATTGCTACTTCTGATTCTGCATCGACTGGTTGTCCGGCTGAGGATTTGTCGACGTATTCACTTGTGATTGCTTCTACTGTTCCTCAGATAACAACTACTATCTCACATTTTACTGTTCCAGTCGTTGAAACAATCTACACAAACTATGTGCAGGTTATTTACTCGACGGTTACTATTCCAACTACAGTGTTGAAGACGAGTCAAAGTACTGGAACTACAACAATTGTTGCTACTTCTATCGTTACCAGTAAGTTATACCCCGTCTTTTTTCCCCATTCATTGCCATGAATCTACCATTGAGAAGATGGACTAATATATCACGATAGGTCTTCAAACCTCTCTAACAGCCATTTGTCAAGGTGGCGATTTCCCTGCAGCTCCCACTGGTTCTGGTTCTGTGCCAAGTGGATCTAGTGCCAATGGTGCTGCAAGCTCAAGTGCACCAGGTGCTACCATTAGTGTTGGACTTCCAAATGGTGGAAGTGGAAGTGGAGGAAGCAGTGGATCTGGAACTCCAACAGGGGGAAGTGGAAGTGGAAATGGGAATTATGGTGGATATTACTCCAGAATCTGATTTGATTGATCGATGGGCTAGGTTGAAGTATACGAGAAGGAATTTTATGGTTTAAATTGCTTCTGATTTTGGTGGGGTTGTTTATGATTCATAATTGTGGTTGACATCTTGGGACAATTTTGTGGGTGGTGGAGGGATAAGGATAGCTTGATCCTACATATTAGTGAAATATGGAGCTCTAGTTGTCAGGACTCAGCTTCCGAAGATATGTTTGTGTGTGAATGAGTTGAGTGGGATCTTTCTTCTGATGGTAGATGGTATAGTTTTATTGATTCAAATTGAGATTAATCACCTTGTATGGGTTTGAAATATGTGAATTGACTCAAAGATTGAGCTGTGAATCTTGGAGTCCGAAAATTTGTCTGGCGTTTGCGTCTCGTACCATGCGTTTCTTGATGCAAAGATCTGCTCAATGTCTGTTCTATGAAAGTGAGAAGAGTTACCCACTATACCACCCATTTCCAAAACCTACATTTCAAACTGAGGTGGGCGTAAGAATAGAAAAATCAACGCAATAACCCAGAAGTTTCCGTCCCGTAACTGGCGAGTGTGATGAATCTTGAAGGATTTGAATTCTTGGCGTATTGTGCAGTGAAGGGTGATGTAGAAGCAAAAGAGAGAGAGAGAGAGAGAGAGAAGAGAGAAGAGAGAGAAGCTATGTATGGGTGCGACCCAGACGTGCAGTCCGTATAGATGAAGTGCAAGAATGAAGCGAGGATGGTACGTGTAGAAGGAATGTGAATTTTTCGGAGCACAGGTAGTGAGTCTCGATACTGAATGAATACGGCTATCCATGCTTATGCAATTTCTCGATACGGGTATAGATGCGATACGGCTATTTTACTCGGTTGCTGGGTTTCTCAGGAAGTTTTAAGTTTGCGCGGAGGGCTGCGAGGATACGGTTGAGATTGCGTGTTGTGTTGTAGCAGGAGGTTGTTATGTGGAGTTTTACGGTGATGAGGGGATGGGTGAATTGGAAATGGAAAGGGGATGGATGTGTTATACGGTTATTTATGAGAAGGGTACGGCTATGAGCTAGCTGTGAGTATGGGTATGAGTATGAGTGTGGTTGTGAACGGTGATGTGATTATGATGTTTACGGCGAGGTGGATGAACGAACACGGTGAGAAACACAGCAGTATGATACTATCACCGTATGATGGATATGTATATCCTCCTCCATCATGCATCTATATAAACTCTTTAGATTCCATTGGCCGACTCACCTTCCCATTTGCTCGACATTCATCTGGATATCAGAATCACAAATCACGAATCACGAATCATAAACCAAAAACGACGAATCACAAACCACAAATCATAAACCACAAATCAGAAAGTTCGTTGAAGAGTAAATACCTACTTCACAATGCCGAAGACAAAAGCAGCGGCGAAGTCTGCACAGAATGTACAGCAGAAGCAGAAGCAGAAGTTGAAGACGGAGCAAAAGTCAAAGATGACTACAACCCCGGTTGGAAGAACTGCGAAACCCACACCTAGCCTGGACATCACAAGATCAAACTCCAATTCCAATGCGAAGACAACTCGAAACTCGAAATCAAATGCATTTACAAACTCAGCGATCCGAGCTTCGAGAAATAATGCAGAGTCCATGTCGAATTCCACTCCAACCCCAGAGCCAAAGACAAATGTAAGCTTGGTTACCAAATCTACCCCGGAGACCCAAAAACCAATTACAAAACCAACATATCCAAAACCATTGGTGATCTGGCATGTGAAGCCAAGTAAGAAGATCTGGCTTTCAAAGCGAAATAGGAAGAGAAGTTCTGAAACCACGAGTTTGAAGAACAAGGCGGAGTCCACGACGCATCCAATCCCAACCCCAACTCCAAAGACAAAGACAGAGTCAACCCCAGTTGGAGGAAATGTGAAATCCAATCCCAGCCCGGAGACCCAAGAACCAATTCCAAAACCAACATATCCAAAACCATTAGTAATCTGGCATAAAAAGCCAAATTAGAAGAGAAGTTCTAAACCCACGAATTCGAAGAAAGATACTGAGTCTACAACGAATCCAACTCCGATTCTGAAGCAAAAGACAAACACAAGCTCGGCTGGAAGAAATGCACAACCTAAATCTAGCCCGGAGAACAGAAAATCAATTCCAAAAGCAAAGTTAACCCGGAACTCAGGGTTGAATGGAGTGAGAAGCTCTGAGATTGCGACTGTGAAGAAAGATGCGGAGGCTTTGCCTCCGATTACTACGGGGAGAACGATTATCGAGATTTTAGATTCGGATGATGATGATGATGCTGATGGAGGTATTGATGAGGATGTTGATGAGGATGTTGATGAGGATGTTGATGAGGATGTTGATGAGGATGTTGATGAGGATGTTGATGAGGATGTTGATGATACTGATGGAGATGGAGATGTGTATGTTGATGAGGATGATGATATCGATGAAGATGTGGACCTTGATGAAGAAGATGGTGTTGATGATGATATTGATGGAGATGAAGTTGGAGATGTGGATGTTGACGAAGATGTGAATCTTGATGAAGATAACGATGCGAACACAACTCCACAATCCATTCCAATGCATAGTCCAACGCTAGATGAAACTCCAGATATGGTTTTGATACCCAACATCAATGCTGCCCCGGCTTCTCCACATCTAGGAGATCTAGATCCGATGCCATGGATGCCAGAAGTCGAAGCAGTACCAGCCACGGGATTGGGAAATCCATTCGCTGGAGATGGAGATGGAGACGCTGATGCAAATGCGAATGCGAATGCAACTCCACAATCTATTCCAATGTATAGTTCAACGCTAGATGCAACTCCAAATATCATGGGGTTGATACCCGATTTCACTGCGGGTCTGGGTTCGCCATATCTAGGAGACCCGATGCCATGGGTTTCAGAAACCGAACCAGGACCGGCACTGGCATTAGATGCGGGATTGGAGAATTCAACGCTAGATGCTACTTCAAATATCATGGGGTTGATACCCAATGCCAATGCTACCCCGGCTTCTCTATATCGGGGAGATCTGATGCTATCGGGTTCAGAAGCGGAACTGGAACTACCCTCGGGATTGGGGAATCAAGTCGCTGGAGATGAGATTCTTGTATCCGATGATATGGATATGGATATGGATTCGCACCTGGATTCACACATGGGTATGGATATAAACATGAACGCAGACACCGAAATCAACACAAGCCCCTTCCAGACCTCCTGGGAAGGAATGTACATGGACCCACCTCTAACAGCGGAAGAAAAAGGTTGGGATTTTTCGAGTGTGGGGATCGAGGAGATTGATGGGTTGTTTGAGGAGATGGAGAAGGAGATGAGCGGGAATATGGATGTGGAGATGGAGATGGGGGAGTAGAGGATGTGGTTTTGATGTGAAGAAGGAGATGGAGATGGTGAGGGACGTTGAACTCTTAGACTTCTAGGTTGCTAGACGGTTAGATGGGGAGTTGTTGGAATCACGAGGTGTGAATTTGATTCCTGGGGCAGGCGATATGATGAGATGTGATGAGATATGATGAGAGGATAGGAGAGGAGAGAGGAGGAAATATTTATTAATCAGATCATAGCAAATTTATCTATTTAACTATATTGAATATTTCCATAACCAAGACTCGTGTTCATCTCTGGCCAACTACTCACCAACGCGGACAGTGTCTGCATCTTGTTTTCGTAGCATGCATAATACTACGCTGTGAAAATAAGGATACTTCATCCCGACTCAGAGAATCCTATGCCTTTGATCGATTCAGTGTACATGTTGAGAATTGTATGAGATCGTAATGTATGACATGATTCATAGTGAAAGGTAAATGAAAACGGGAAAAGAAATAACACTAGCATCTACTTCTTGAGTCTCTAACCATGAAGTCTGAAGTCATAAATCATAACACATCCAAGAAAATCACAGATCAAATCATGTGCATAAATTTATGAGGAAAAATCAACGATTTAAAAGCCTAACTAATGACTATTACCATAAATCTTGGTATCTTACGCCATTTTCTGTATCAATCCACTTCCACTGCACTCTCTTTCATCCAAAGCAACTCTCGAATGAAATCTCAGTTACAATTTGATAGAAACTTTTATCGTAAATCGTGCATCTCGCAATCGAAATGATCTAAGCCTCTACGAATAACCATCTCCCCAATATCCTCAAGGTAAATAACATCCTCCAGCCATGACCAAATTCATTCTTGTAAACATGACTTTGTAAACTGGTGATCTCTTGGTAGGGAATGCAACAATTTGATCTGGAGTAATCATTGTTTCCTTACCCTTCTTCTTGGAAGAACCAGTAGTAGGATTAGCTTGAGCACCGGTAATGGCACCCGTAACACGAGTTGCATCAGCTTGTCCACCAGTACCGATGATTTCACCATCAGTGTTCTTGTATGGATCAGAAGGAACTTCGATATCCCATAGACGAACAGTACCATCAGCTCCACCCGAACACAAAACTGTAGATTCAACACTGAATGATAAAGACCAAATTCCACCTTTTCCATGACCTCTGCAACGTTTGATTTGTGTTCCCTTTGCAAGATCCCAAAGAATGATACTTCCACCACAATCTGCAGATGCTAGAATCTTTCCATTAGGAGCGCATTGAAGAGCACTAATGGTGTCGGTATGACCAGTGAAGACACGAACACAATCACCAGTTGTAAAAGACCACATGCGAACAGTCTTATCAGCTTGATCACTTGCCGAGAAAACATATGCTCCATTTGGATGCCAAGCGATTTGATTGACATTGGAGTCATGACCAATAAACATTCGAAGGTATGAAATATGATCTTGTCCCCAAATACGAACAGATCGATCATGACCGCAAGTCAAAAAGTAATGACCAAATGGTCCCCACTTTACATTCCATACCGGACCTTCATGACCTTTGTATACGACAAGGCAAGCCCATGCTTCAAGGGACCAAAGACGAATTGTTCGATCCGAGGAAGATGAGAGAAGTAATTTGGGAGCAGTAGCTGTATCACTTTCATCTGCACCTCGAATCGAAGGAGAGAAAGACACGGCATATACAGGTGCGGAATGACCGATTAGACGACGAGAGTTCGATGGTGGCGGATCATTTGGACCTGGTGGGGTTTCACTAGGCAATGGTTCGCCATGTAAATGCCAAACACGAATGTAAGATTCTTCCGTTCCAACAGCAACCAGATTATTATCATCGGAAAATTCGATACAATTGATCCTAGCCACAAGTTAGTATTCTGGCAGAAGACTGGTGGAAAATAACTTACGTATCAAGAGTATTGTGGAAAGTAAACATGCAAATAGAGACTGCAGGACCAACCCCACCATTACGGCTTTCAATCTTGAATCTATCTCGATGTTCTTTGATCTTTTGAACCTCCATGGTGACATCCCGAGCACGAGAAGGAGGGTATGGGATGTCGTTGCGGTTAGGTCCTTCAACACCTTCCTCACGCTTGATACTTTGATCAAACAATTCTATCAAGGATGGTTTACCGAGCTCAGGCGGGTTCTTACTATCTTCCTCATCAAGATCTGCGCGAACATCTGAAGCCAATTCTTCTTCCATTGCCATCGGTCCCAAAAGTAGCTTGGCATTATTATCTTGGATATCTTTGTTCGTAACTCCGGTAAAAGCTCCAGGGATTCCTTCTTGAAGGTCAGACTCTTCCGGTTCAACACCATGTGCTTGATTGATGATAGCTTCGAAACTAAATTGATCAATGGGTCCTCGCTCTGTTTCACGAATTTCGCAGTAGGTCTGTAGCAAATAAATAATAACAGATCCTCCTTGTTTGCTGTTCGATTCGAGGTGAGTTATGAGGTTGAAGTAAACATGGGTGTTGAGAGGGATTCGATATTTTGAGGATAGATAAAGCTTGGTGATAGTATTATCGTTGATTTGTTGTGGTAAACTGATTGTATCAAATGTAGTGAGTTCATCGGCGTGGACTTGTTGGAATTGATCTTTGAATTCATTCAAAAAGGCCTTTCCATCAGTTGTATAATTATTTGTGATGAGCTCAATAAAGGAATAAACAAAAACGGGCCAAAGGAGTCTGCGCAACTCAAACTGTTGCAAAAGATATTAGACATGTTGACTCTTCACGTTGAAAGGATTCTTGCTTACCTTGTAGATATCCAAGTTAGATTCGATCCAATTACTCAATAATCGGAAACCTTTTGCATATTTTGCTGTACCAAGGTCCTCGGCACGTTCTTGAATAGGTTTTCCATCTCTATCAAGGTTGGAAGATTCAGATCGTAGCATCTGTTCAGTTCGGTTGTAACCTTTTTTGACGAGGTACTCGATAACCTTTGCTTGTCGATGCTTGTCAGCAGCCTCATCCGCAGGATAATAGGGATTTTCTTCGGTAGAAGGACGAGTTGACGAAGTTGAAGAAAGACAGGAATAAGGAGAGCCATAAGAGCGAGGAGGGTTTGACGAATTTGGGAGATATGATGGAGGTTGAACACCAGGATATGGTGGAATTGGGGGACGAGGAGCACCAGGTCTTGGAATACCATTATTTGAAGAACCAGAAGGCACTGCACCTTGGGTCTGACTGGTTCCAGGACGTGGAGTACCCGTTGGTAACGAGTTTGAAAGGGAAGGACGTGAAAGGGGAGGACGTGGTGGGATTTGCCCAGGTGGTCTAGACATGATGACAACAATTTGCTGCAAGATTTTGTGACAGGGCTATGTAATAAGTTTGAAAGATCTTTTTTGGAAGAGCAATAAGGATTGCAAGAAGTTTTAGTATGGGATTTATTTTGTGGAAGTGAATTGACAAGGTTCTGATTAAAAAGCTTGCTTCTTTCGAGATGAAGATGAGAGGAGAGGAAACAGGGGAAGAAGAGCGCTAAGTCGAAAGAGGTATCGGGCCTTGAACAAACAAGCACTTGTATTGGATTGAGAGAACTTTGACTGTGAATTTATATTTGTTCTCCAGATTTCTCCCAAATAAATATGTTTGTTTGTCAATAGGAAGGCCAACCATGAAAGGCATAAACACCATGTTTTGAAAACCACTGCACGATGCCAATGCATACAGTACAGAGAGTCATTTAGAATTTATTGAAGTTTTCAATCAATTCATCTCTTGAAGTAACAAAATACAATCAAGCATTATGTTGTTTCAAGAGGTGGTTCATGGTATTCAGCCTGACCACGTGACAAGTCCTTGATACTGTTTTTCACACTGTACATTGACAAACTGTACTGTGGCCACCTGCTTCTGCACTAGCAGTATCTTGAGAGGGCATAGTTGTTCTATTGACAAGGGGGTGGATAGATTTTTGGGACAAAAACTTGATGGTATTGATGATATCGATGGCATTGGGGATAAAAGCTTGCTGGTCTTGATGATATTGATGACAAAGCTACTGAAATCCATTGAATCCATATAGAAAGAAGGGAGAACTTACAATCTGATTTAAATTTTGTTGAGACATGAGTGAGCCTGATTGGGGAGGACCTTGAGAATTTTGTTGTGTATTTATTCCAGCACTTGGAGGTCCGTTTGGTTGTCCTGAGGTAGACATGCTTATTGAGAATTGAGAGATTGAGAGGTTGAGATGAGAGGTTGAGATGAGAGATTGAGATGAGAGATTGAGAGTCCTTCTGCGTGTGATTGGAGCTACCTAGTTCTGTATGTAAGATTACCTTCTACTCGGCTACCTACCTACCTAGGTATCCAAGCTATCCGCACCGGTGAGTCTTCTTTCCCTTTATGATCTCTCACCTAGGTAATACCGTGATACCGCCAGGACTGCCAATCACTTAGCATCTCCCCAAAACCGACGAAAAAAATCAACTCCAAACTCTCAACTTTATGTTTAGGTAGGGAGGTATAGTTGGTTACGGGTTATAGAGAAATTTGGGGGATTAGTAAAGAGGAATAATTAAGAGGATTTTTATGGTTCAAGGCTGATTGCCTGGTATATAGTGGGAGGTTATTGAAGGTCAAGCTTCATTGAACAATTGGAGTGAAGTTTTAACACTAATGCAGCTGATCCGCAGAGCCGCATAATTAAGGCTGTAACCCCAGATAAAGCATCTGCAAGGTTCTAAGGTTAAGGTTCTGGAGATCAATCAATCGACATAATCATTCTCAAAGTACTCGTACATGATTCGAAATACAAACTCTTACATCCCCAAAGTCCATACCAGAAACAAACAATCATTGAAGGGTTTCGACTTCCGACTTCCGACTCTTCATCATCATGTCCTCCTCACCAGAAGAAAATCAAACCTCAGCATTCCGACCATTTACAAAAGCCGAGCGCATTCAGCAACTCAATGAAATAGACAAGGTAAAATCCATCACTTTTGACTCATTCTATAACACTATCTAATCATGCGTAGAGCATTTTACAACTTGTTCAAACTGCTGGACAAACCCTCAAGATTCTTACCGCAGCACAAGAACCTGGAGAATCACAATCCCCACAAGAAAAACGTCAAGCTTTCCAAGATGCCTCGAACTCTTATCTAAAAACTTTACAATCCGTCGATGTAAGATTACGAAGACAAATATTGGGGTTGGAAGAAGCAGACATTATACCCGCAGAAAAGGTGAAGTCGAAGAATAAGGGTAAATCAGTACCTGAAGTTGTGGAAAGACGACCAGCAGTTCCAGGAAATATGGCAGGCAATATGCCAACAGACGATATCGTTGTGGAAAGAGGAATGGGTAATCTTGATATTGGTTTCTTGAATAGTCGAAGTGGAAGAGTTGGTAGAGATATGGAGGCAGAATTATGGGCAAAGAGTAGGAAGTTTCTCGAAGATTTGGATAAGGGCAATTACAATTCACGTCCATTGACTCAAATGAGGGACGAGGTTGAGAAATAAAGAATGGTAGATGTGAAGTTGGTGTTGGAATCATACTCTATAAAGTTGGATGTTCTGTAGGGCACTTTGATACATTCATATCGGACTTGATCCTTTTGTCATTCAAAGTTTGAATATTTGAAGATGTGGGTATCTTACCTACCCGTGGACCTGCAATGATGCATTCATACTCTTGCTTCAAATGTGGTGATCACAGTAAGCTGCGTGAAAGGAAACAAACTAACCGATATTTACCCGGCCGGCCATATTCCCACCCTTTGCCTTGATCGCAAGATACCTATTATCACCCCTTTGATGCACCGTGTACATATCCTACCAACACTTTTACTCAAGATTTGTTGAAGAAATATTGCGAATATCCTACATCAATTGTATTGGTTGCTGTCTTGAACAGCTTTAATCCCTGTAACCTACCACGGTACATTCCGAGTGTTGTCTGTGCCGCGCGCCGATTAGATATCCATCTTGAATTCAAACAAGTATCAACTCAACGTTTTAAGTGCACTTATAATATTTCGTCATGGATTTGGAAGACGGGGGAGACTCACCTTGGGGAGGTATGTTTCTACTGACCGAAACTACAATTCCGGAAGTGATCCATATTGACAACTATATCAGATGTCCCTTCTCAAGCCCAATCGACACCAAGCTTACCCAAACCCGAACAATCCGCTACAGAAGGAGGTCAGTCATCATCGTATTCAAGTAGTATTCGAATTTAACTTTATTATAAAGAAACCCCCGAATCCGCATCACAAACCCTTGCCCCACCAGCTTCACAGGGCAAAACACATGCAGGACGTACGATACGAACCCCTCGACGCGCTGGAGCACAACCAGTTCGACTTCAAGCTTTAGATGATTCTTTGGGGCCATTAGGACCCTTGGGCGACAATGCGCCAACATCAAAAGCCGACGAGCCTCCTGCGCCGCCTCAAAAAGAACAAACTGTTACACATAATCTGCGACAACCATTAGCTTCAGCGCAAAGCTCTACTATAAGTCGAAGTATGTTGGATTCAGTGGATTTGAATGAGGATGTTGAATCTAGTACTGGACCTCGCATACCACCTCCTGTTCAACCATCTCAAATGGGCTCGGTTCGAAGAGAGTCAACACCTAGTGTGAGCATCGAACAAGCTGCCAAGCCTACTTTCAATATTACAGTCGGTGATCCACACAAAGTTGGGGATTTGACCAGTTCTCATATTGTGTACTCTGTTGAAACAAAGGTAGGATATATCAATTCCAAGGAAGTGTCGCCATAAACTAATCATAAATTAGACATCCTCTAAAGCATATCGTCAACCGGAATTTACTGTCACTCGAAGATATAGGGACTTTTTATGGCTTTACAACTCTTTACATGCAAACAACCCGGGTGTCGTTGTACCTCCACCTCCTGAGAAACAGGCTGTAGGAAGATTTGATACAAATTTTGTGGAATCTAGGCGTGCTGCATTGGAAAGAATGCTTAATAAAACAGCTGCTCATCCAACACTTCAACATGATGGGGATTTGAAACTGTTTTTAGAAAGTGAGGCTTTCAATGTTGATGTCAAACATAAGGAACGAAAAGAACCTGGACTCGGAGAAAGCAAAGGCATGTTTAGTGGACTTGGTATTTCTGTTGGTGGAGGAGGAAAATTTGTTGAACATGATGATGTAAGTTTATGATTCTTCCAGGGGTTTGAAGTTGCTGACATGATTAGTGGTTCCATGAGCGACGAATCTATTTGGATGCTTTGGAGAATCAACTTAAAGCTTTGTTGAAAGCTATGGATGTTGTGGTTATCCAACGTAAAGGTCTCGCTGAAGCTGCAGGCGATTTCTCTGGTTCCCTTCGAGCACTCTCAGCTGTTGAGCTCTCTACATCATTATCCGGACCTCTTGAAAGTCTTGCGGATTTGCAAATCAGAATTAGGGAACTTTATGATCGACAAGCACAACAAGATGTATTGACTTTGGGTATTACAATTGATGAATATGTTCGTTTAATTGGAAGTATCAAACAAGCATTCGGTTCACGTCAAAAAGCATGGCACTCATGGCATGCAGCAGAGGGTGACTTACAAAAGCGTAAGACTACTCAAGAGAAATTATTACGCCAAGGGAAATCACAACAAGATCGTTTGAATCAAATGCAAGGAGAAGTGGCCGATTCTGAACGTAAAGTTCATCAAGCAAGATTATTGTTTGAGGATATGGGACGTCTTATGAAATCCGAACTTGATAGATTTGAACGCGAAAAGGTTGAGGATTTTAAGAGTGCCGTGGAGACATTTTTAGAAAGTGCTGTGGAAGCTCAAAAGGAGGTAAGTTATTACATTTATGAGATCAGAGACATCTTGCTAATATTCCCAAGCTTATTGAACTTTGGGAAACTTTCCTTATGCAACTTGATGCAGAAGAAGATGAACAATTATTTTATAAGCCCCCTGTAGAACCAGCGGCACGTCCTTCTTCAGAAACTGGAATCTCAGGTGAAACTGCTACAGACTCACAAGCTGCAGCTGTAGCAACTGCTGAAGAAGAAGATTAATGAATGACACAATGATATCACGTTTTTGAAAAGTAATTGGGTGGGGAAAAAAGATGAAGAGAGTGACACAATTATCAAATCATGAGGTGATTGTGGTATGCTGGTTGTAGTATTTTTGTACATAGAATAATATTTCAATTCTGAACCACCAATCCTGATCTCTATGCATTTCTTTTTACCTCCTTGACAATGTATATGTACATGTGTACATGGCAAGATGAGGGATGTTCTCTCGTTCATCGTACAATCCAACTTGATGTGTTTGATAATCTCTGAAGCTCTGGAAGGAGAATAACATTTCCCCAGCTTCATACCAAGATATTCCCCATCCCAGTCATTATAATAATACCCCTCACTCCACCCCTCAATTCAACCCACTCATTTATTTCTTCTCCTTTCCACTCTTCGTCCTGACGGTTCCCTTCATACTAGCACTATCCCTCTGAGCTCCTCCACTAATCAAATCCATCAAACTATCCATTGAATCTCCCTTCTTGCTCTCTACCCCTTCGTCAGCGTTCGCACTGTCTGCGTCCTTTGCCAATTTCTCCTCTCCATCTGCCTTCTCTACCTCTCCATCCCACCCCCTTCCGAACCTCTCTCTGAACGCACTCAAACGTCCTGCTTCATCATTCTCAACATTCCTTAATGAATCTAAAGAGGGCTGCCATAGAGGATGATTTCGTGTATCTTTTGTGCTGCGGTAAATGGGCGCTGGAGATGTGGATCGAGTGAGGTAGGTTGAGCCATCGGATAGGGTAACGAGTTGTGTGAAAGTATATGGTCGAATAGGACGTTTTAGGAGAGTGGCGTGTCGAATTTGGTGGGTGAGGGTGGACTTTATGGGGAGGGTATTGGAGGTAATGGAGGAAGTGCGGCGGAGGGTGAGAGATGGCAGGGACATGATTTCGGCGTAATTGGACGAATGAAGATATGGCGTGGTAGTATTGACGAGAGGCAGAGGCACCTTTTGTTTAAGATACCGAGAGGTTTAATTGGATTCGTACCAAATATTGAATTCCTCGTCGCATTTGACGAGGCTTGCATCTAGATTTGTTTTCTGAGAACTTTTCTACGGTATTCGCGACAGACCAATGACGATGTGAATATAATTTTCAGCCTTGTGGAACCTTGTGTGGATACACGGCGCCTTGCATATCTGAATATATTTTTGACTCAATTGACGACGGAATCGAATTAAATTTTACATCGATTGGTTTAGGGAGAGCTGCAGTTTTGTAGTATTTGGGAAAGATGATATCTACTAGGAATTCACGGAGTTTGCTTTATACAAATCAAAGTTCTGTTGTGGGAGGTTTTCATGAATTATTCTGGAGATGGAGTTTACTGGAAAAGACTTCTAGGAAATGTATAGTATTCTTCTCATTTGGCTGTAATTCCTTGTATGTTTACTTTACTGATGTTTGGTTTTGAATCTTCCAGTTCACACTCATTCTTCTCGACACAATGCATTTTCAAAATGTATTCATCAGCAATCAAGAAAAAGCAGCAGCTTGTCCAATTCTTCTTCTTCAAACTCAACCAGCGCCATTAAATCAGCAAATACACCTATAGATACTCCATTAGAAGCCCCCAACAAGTCCCCCGAACTCAATCAACTCGCCTTGGATGTTCGTCAAGTAATGCGCCATGTACCACATTCCGTCGTAATTCTCACCACTCCAAATCTTCATCCGAAGTCTGGAGAACCTTCAATAGCAGCAGCAGCTATGACTTTATCCTCTTTTACTACCCTTACCCTCTCACCAGAACCTATCATCACATTTAATATCAAGCGTCCTTCTCGAACACTTGATGCACTAAAAGCATTATACCCCGTCGGGTCAGCATCATCATCCGCCAAAGATGAACCCGATAGATGGTTTCACATCCACATTTTAGAATGCAACACATCAGGTGCTCAACTTGCCAATCACTTTTCCCGCGGTGGACCCATGCTCCCGGAAGATCGCACGTTGGTGTATTCACCAGGCGCCATTGCAAATGTAACCACGAGAGGTATAAGACAGACGTTTCAATGTGAGATTCTGCGGAATCATGAAACGAGTGGATTTATTGATGTTGGGGATCATACGTTGGTTTTTGGAAAGGTGATGAGAATTGGGTTTGGGGAGAAAGCGGATAAAGTGAAGGGAAGGAAGAAGGAGTGGAGGGGTTTGTGTTATATGCAGGGGAAATATCAGATTGCGATGCCTATGCTGCATACTGATAAGAAGGGTGTAACTGTTAAAGGTAATGGAATTGAGGATACTGTATAAGATAATGGGATCGAGGGTAAGGAGAAGTTGAACGGAGAGGGAATGCAGAGAATGTAGAGGACGGGGTCTTGGAGAGGGAAGAAAAGAATTTAGTGTCATGAGCACCAGTTCGTGGTATGTATAAAGAATCTCATGTCTTCATTTGTAAAGCTTGTTTTCAGGATGTATTGTGTTATATTGTACTATTATATGAGGTATCCACGCGCCAGAACTCCCGCAAAATCACAATAAAGTACCTAAGTAGGCCATGCCCAGAAAATACCCGTCCATTCATTTCATCATGCCATCGTAAAAGGTCGTACCAGTTCGTTTGCTGCAGTTGTCGCATGTCGCATATCGCATGTCTAGTCCTAGTCTGTTCGTTAGATGTCTTTCCTCACCAAATATACTAGTAAGTGTACATACCCAAAGCAGCAAGTTGCGAAACTGGTTCCTCTTATTTGCGGTTTGCCTTATTGGCAGCGCGCTAGTTGACTGTTATTCAAGGTCACTTTGGTATCAGCGCCAATTAAACATACCCTAGCCAACATAGCAGCACGACGATCATCTTGCTCTCCCTCCATATCATCCAGTTGGTCTCGAGAAACCGAGAGTTTATCTCTGATCGAGCCGTAGTTCTTGTACAACTTGCGATCCAAATGAGCTAATGGGAACTGGGCGTATTGTTCGAGAACTTTTGGCCAACGACGACCGACTTTGAAGCTTTGCATGGCCATGGTCCCTAGATAAATCATTATACGTTAGTTTTGGAGTCTTGCATACCTGGCTAAGGAAACATGGAAGGAATACTTACACTTGTACGTCTTGGTGTAAACGCGCTTCTCCTTGGCGGTGAGCCAAACCATGGCTCTTGGAGCTAGGAAAACGGTTCTGGGAGGTGGGAGGGGAAGATTATTTGCGCGACACTCGGCTCGGCGCTTTGCGGCTCTGGTCTTGTATTTCTTGACCGTGGTCTTTGTCTTTGCCATGATGAATTGTTTGTTGAAGAAGGGGCTGATGAAAGAGAATTATTTGTTTGGGTTGGGTTGGGTGGGGCTGGGGTGGATGGAGGGAGGTGGTTGTTTGGAATTGAAAATGGATGGAGAGAATTTTGATTGTTATGCTAGTTTTTAAGCGAAACTACCCTCGAGGGGGAATTAGCTTGTAAATTTTAGTGTGGTATTTTAGTACAAAAAGGTTAGTGTGTGGGTGAATCTTAGTTAGTTATTGTCTGATATTTGGTTTGATGTTTATGTTGTATCTGAATCTGAACTATGCAGTCTCTCATCTCTTGTTGAGATATCTAGGAGAGTTTTCAAAGTTGAATTCTTGATTTTGGAGGCAATTGAATAGCTGTTTTGAGAAGAAAACTGTTCTTTCTCAAGAGGTTGTGCAATTTTAAACTGTCTCGTCGGGTGAGGTACTGCCAGGAAGTACTTTGTATTGAGCTAGGAGTTGTATCTTTGAGATGTACTTTTAGATATTGAAAGGATTCGAATAGTACCATATTACTAGCTTTTAGGATCCTGAATATATCTCGTCAAATACTGAATAGTCAGGAATTATACAGAATTTGTCCATAAATGTTGGTTTTGGTGTGCAGTTCTAATATTGAAAGAGTTTGAGAGGACTATTCTCTAGAACTTTATTTATTTCTGAATGAATCTCGTCGGGTTTCGAGAGGATTGGAATAGTTACAACCTGAGTAGGATATGAAATTCTGGGATATATTAATGGATATTGAAAGGAAGAAAAGGGTTCGTAGCTCAAGGAACTATCCACAATTAGATCAGTTCCATCGAGTTTTGTGAGGATTTCAACTATTGTGATCAAAGTAGACATGGTAATTTCATCCAACACTTGCAAATACCAAAGGGGGTTTCAGCATATATGGTTCAGTACATTCCAGAAACTTAAAGAGCTCTTATCGAGTATTTTTCAGCCATTAATTCAACAGTTAAACTACCTTCAGGAGTTTTGGAGTATCTTCTTCTCATACTAGAGGTTTGAAATTGTCTCTCGTAGAGAGGAAAGTAGAGATTCTAAACTATGTTCCCGAGTATCTTAAGCTAGCTATACCTACTGATCGAGTAAATTCAGGATAACTATGGTATCTTCTCAGGTTTTAAAGGATTGAGTGTTAATGTATCTGTTTCATATGTTCGGTCTTTGACACTGAAATCTTCAATGTGGTGATCTATGGCATTGTTATTCTTTATGGAAGAGTATATTTGAAAACCTGTTTGTTCATCTCTACAAGTACATTTGCATGCATAATACGCCTAAATCCCAGTGTTTGTGAGATCATGAGTGCTGGTATGTAAAGTGAAGAATGACAAGCTGACCTATCTGAGGGGAGTTGGCCTATTCATCGCAACACAATCATTGGAAATCAAGCTGTCTAAGCATATATTTCGAATCAGAGATCTATCTACACCACTGATGCGTGATATAGTTAATTCTAACTCCAAGATCAGCATCATGACAAATGACAACTGTCACAAAGTCAGAACATGCACAGTCTCATGCTTCGCCCCCATGAAAATGATTCCAGAACCTTCACCTCGGGATAAATAATGAGCATAAATCATTCCCTTGCTGTCGTATTTATCCTTTCGAGGTAAAGACTAACGAGTTTATACCAATAGCATCTATTGATGTTAGGCACAGCAATCTTGACTACAAAGCACAGATACCGCGCCCCAAGAAGTAGCACCAACATCACTTCAGAACGACGAATAAAATAATAACTAAAACTCTACCGCACACACATGAGTGTCCGAAATTGCTCAATCTGCTGAAAATAACAAAGTCACAATTCGCGCTAGATTGAATCGATTCGGAGAACTCGATGATGAAATGCAAAAAACACCTCGATCTTGCATTGGGTAGATATTCAATGGCTCGGATAGTGCAGAATTTGTATTAAATCGGTACAGAAAACATGATAGAGAGAAGAGATGAAGCGTGGCGTCACTACTATTCTGGGTAGACTGTATCATCGATAGAAGAGTATTGCAACGGAAGGGTAACTATTTGAAGAGTAGTCTTAGAAGTGAACATCTAATTTCAAGCATGCGCTGCTTGCCAGACTATTTATCCCTCAAGGGTTTGCCGTTGACTCTGCTCGTTTGCACACGGGAATTCATACAAGCGCAATGTTTATCAAGGTCATTTTCAACGCGAAGTTGTAGAGTCTATATCTTTCTGTACTATTACAACTGCCTATAGTGAAAGGCTGCCCATGCCTGATCTTGTCTAACGGGTTAAAACAATCCTCGCAAGTCTAGTAAATGTACTACTGTGTTCGATGTCCGTTACTTTATTTGATGATACCCAATCTTATGTCGTGTTAGCCTACAAATAATTTGATTCCGTAGCATTCGAGTATACTCGTTGAGGGAAACTTCCATCCTAATCTTACGACATCGTTCGCCAATTACAAATGTCGTCAAGACAGGGGTGTAAGTTGTCTTTATTCCTCAAAATTACAAATTCTAGGAGTCCACAGTATGGTAGTAGTAATTTTGAATCAAACAGCGTCGATTATGAGGTTCTGTGAGGTCGAATCTTGAAGAAATAGTAGCAAGAATTCATCTCCAAGTCGAAGCTAAATCCTTGAAGTAAATTCCCAGCGTTTTAAGAGACTAGAATGAACTCAGGACGGTAACCCAATTTACGTTGTCTTGATTTCTATATAATTTTGATAGCTAGTTCAAAAATATGTTATGAGTTTTTCGTCGAGTATAATAAATCAGTACTATAATTGATCCGAAAATTCGTGGGTCTTAATCAATATAGTCGAGCTCCTAATTTCTTATCTTCAATATAGTAATACTAAATATTCTTTAAAAATAATTAATAAATCTCCTTTTTAGTATAATATCATATGAATATTTATTCGATAGATAGGTGATTTTAGATTATTTGTTATCTATTCGAGAAATACATATTTTCTTATTAACATCTATTCGACTTCACTTTGATATATTAATCAACTTATATATATACTTTTGAAATGTATATATATAAGATTAATTTTAATAAGCGTTTAATATTTACTTGAATTTCAAAATACTTATATATTTGAATTATAGTACTTTATAAATAATAAACTAATAATTATTTATTAATAACTATTCGATAAATACTTATTTATATACTAATATCTATTCGACTAATATTATACATAGTTAATATAATATAATATCGTACTATTTATAATATATTCTTTAGATATAATATAGTTTTCATTTAAGTATTTATAATAATTCTTATTAAAGATTGTAAAATAATAAAACAAGTAGATTAAGTTAATATATAATCTATTTAATAGTAAATCTTTACTAGAAATTTCTTTTAAAAGCGAGAATTAATTATATATTTTAATATCTGATTCTTAATATTATTACTAGTCTATTCGATAAATTTTCATATATATATATATATATATATATATTAATATTTAATTGAGAGATAATTATAAATTTTAGACAGATATCTATAAACTCCGTTCGTCTATTCGACTAACGATTATCTATGTTTGATTATCTATTCGAGAAACATGTAAGCTATTTTTCTCAATTAATACTCTTTATAATAAAACCTTTAAGTTTGAAAAAGATATAAATTAGAAGATCCCTTTGAGTATAACTGCACCCCATCTAAGAATCAAGTTAATACTGAGCTCTCACTTGCGATAATTTCGTTAAGCGATCCTGGTCTGTATACTACGATGCTTATCAAAATCTGGGATCTGAGTCTAGTATTCGTTGGGGTTTAAACATAAGCTGTAGGCATTATTAATTTTTGTGATCTCTTTCTCTACTGCTTCGAGCTCGATGTAGAAGTGCCAGAATCCTGTAGTATATCAGGCACCGCCAAAATTGCTTCTGGGTGCATTTTGAATGAATTACAACCGGTAGGAACAGACTAACTTATCAAGGAAAGATACACGATTGTACTTCTCATAGAGGTGCTCAGTAATTCGCTATGAAGAAAAGAAAACAGAGAAAGAAGTATTGTTGATTCTCATGTGAATCTTATCTATGCAAGTCAGAATGACCCTTTCAATTGGAATATTTACTGGGTAATGGGGCAGCCGAGGCCTGTGGCCGAAAACTACTAGAGATTTTTTTTGTAATTAGATCTCTGTATTTTATCCAAAAATGGGTCTTAAGTTACCGAAGGGTCGTTTTCTCTATCTCCAACATTTGGTTTCTGTTGTTTTGAGAAAGATACGGACGAAGTGGTACCTACGATGGCAGGTCCTAAATGTGAATATAGTATCCTATCTAAAGAGCTAGCTATTGTATACAAATAGTAGGAATCTAGTCTCTTTTGCATTCGCTCAGGCTTAATATAGTAGCCATTAGATTGAAGTCATTCACCTACGTTCATACAGTTTCGAAATAAATTGTCTAGATCGGGGGGCGGTCTACCCCACCTCTCTTGAAGCAGCCCTCAGAGAAGACCCTAGCCTGTCGCTATTGTCGGCCTAGCATGGCGCTTCCCGGGTGATGCCACTTTACCATCGAAGTTCTGGAATTGGAGCTGCTTGAAATTCCACTGACAATTTCGAAGATGCCTCCTCCTCAACAGCAGACCGATATAACGCGGATGCATTCTACCATACCAATGCTAGCAGTAGGCAAAAAGTCTTGGCTACTAAGGGGGGGATTTTCTCAAACAGGATCCATGTGCATTTGACGCAGCATTCTTTAATATTACGGCAGCGGAAGCCAATTCATTTGATCCAAACAGCGCATAGCCATGGAAGTCGTCTATGAAGCTCTGGAGAATGCCGGTAAAACGCCGAACAAAGTTGCAGGCACTCAAACGCGTGCTATATCGGTTCCTCGATGAGTGACTATCGAGATGTTGTTGTTCGAGATTTCGGACATAGTCCCAAGCACCATATTCTAGGAACCTACGAAGAGATGATCTCTAATCGCGTCTCCCACTTCTTAGATATTCATGGTCCTAATGCTACCATTCACACGGCTTGCTCATCAAGTCTTGTTGCGACTCATCTTGGCTGTCAACGTCCATAACCTGGAGAGTCAGAAATGGCCATAGTTGGGGATTTTAATATGATCATCAGTCCGGATGGGAACATGCAACTAAAAGACTTGCGATTTTTGAAACCCAAAGGTCACTTGAGAGCATTTGACGAGAACACCGGAGGTTATGGTCGAGGGGAAGGATGCGGCGTCCTTATTCTGAAGCGACTAAACAGGGCGCTTGAAGACTGGGATTCTATTCGTGCCGTTATTCGAGCCTCTGGCGTGAAATCAAATGGTTAGACCCCGGGTGTGACGATGCCTTCAAGCGAAGCATAGGCTGCTTTGACAAACTACGTTTATACATCGCATGGGTTGGATGATGGGTCAACTCAATACATCGAAGCTCATGCAAGTAAAAATCTAGATGACCCATAATTTGGAGCAAGCTGATTGGGTATTACTTAAGGGAACGGGACCCAAAGCTGGAGACCCAGCAGAGGTAGGAGCAATTCATCGCACCATCGGCGACGGAACCACCAAATCGCGCAAGCTATGGATTGATAGTGTTAAGCCAAATATAAATACGTCAGTTTGGCTCTACATAATATAGCTGACGATGATATATTATGTACCGGTTTGAGGGACATTAGTCCACTTCCAACCCCGTGGTCGATAAACGATGGAATTTGTGCTGGGGGGAGATTATCGGCTCATGGCGAGATATTGAAAGGATTACTGACAACAATTCCACTTCGAATAGTGCGAGTTGTAACGGACATCTGTGCTACGCAGATCAGTACTGTTGACCGGATAAAATCCTTTTTCCCCCGCCCAGTTCCCCTCTTTGTGCCGAAATCTCGCTTGTCAGCCAGTCATATCTTGCATAAACCGCCCCATGCGACTATAGAACATCGAGCATGCATGCCCTTTTCCCCTCAAATAATCATAGGATAGGTCTTCTGGAGCGGCTATTTCCGGAATTTAGCCTGCACAATTTGTCGCTTTCCCCGCAACACTACTTCGCCGCAGGTGTTACTGAAGATTTAGAGTGGATTGATTTTCTTTTGAATACCGATGGGATGACAATCTGATTATTAAACAGAGAGAATATACGTCACCTCTTAGTTGCAATTGGAACCTATTATCGTCCCAAAATTCACAATCACGAGTTTGTGGATTTTGTTTGATGATCTGTGGTATTATAAGTTGTATATCTCTAGTGCGAGATATTCTTATACATTATGTATCAAGGTGATTTGCTGAATACATCAATGTTTCAATCAATTCTCGAGTCAGAATGGTATGAACATGCAACAGCGATGAAAGGGCTCAGATATCATGTCCCTCTGTCTCAATGCAATACACCCATATCCAATTGAGTCGGGAATCGGCCAAAGACTTTGTCCAACCTGAATCGGTATAACATGCGTGATACTGGAGCTTGCGGGAAGAGTTAGTGTAAATGTGACATGCAAGTGTGAGCGACGTCACCAAAACTCTCCCGTCTGTGGTTTGTTTCCAGCATAAGTACAAGACTGGCCTATAAATTCCCTGAACAAGATTTCTACAACCAATTCACACGGTCTATGCGAATTCCTAGATGGGGGAAACACGGGCGAAGGCAAAAATCGCTCTTCCTGGGCAGCATTTGAAAATGACTTCTGCGAGTGTGAGTAGGAACAGAGATACTGGCTGCAATTTGAGAGCTACCATTGTAGGTTGGTGTGATCCAATCAGCTAAAGAGGTACCAGATCCGCTTCTTCCCCTCTTTGTCGCTTTGTCATGGTAGCAGTACACCCTGTTGTGCACAACCCAGTGTACAAATTGAGCTGTATACATAGCAAGAGCCAGTATACTACCAAAAATTTCTTCATGTGATCCCCGATCTCCTGAAGATGAACCATTACCATTGAGATCGATAGCTGCAGAAAGGGGCTGAGAAGTAAGGTGCTGAGAGGTACTCATTCAGCTCGCAAACTCACCAGCTGAAAAGCCATGCATATACTCCTCAGTTGCACCCTTACCAAGAACATACAAGCCGCCTTTCTTAGAGAAGAATCATGATATGGTCACACAAAGCGAGGACCTTGATATGTACTCTATGACGGATTGAGCAGATTCCATTGTTTCGGGAAGCGCTAACCTTACCCAGAATGCTTTTGAATGCATGTGAAACGCACCACGCAGTGTCGTAATTGTACAAGTATCGTAGTCCAACCTCCGGAGTTGTTTGCTTCGGAAGATTACGAATAATTTGCATTTGATGCCGTCAAACGTTACGCAACATCGCCAAGTCCTTTTGGTATGCGCGTACTAGGATTTGATCGGGTTTTTAATTGCTTTTCCGGCCAGATCAGCCCGCAGTGTGCGCCATAACCTAACCTTGTAGATCTCTTCCCTTTGTTTAGAAATTGAGATCTGAATAATCTCTCCTCCATGTGATTGATCATATCTTAGATCTCTCTGCAGCTAAGATAGCACACACTATCGCATTGTGCATATGCAAAACTAATGCATTTCTACGTTTTCAATCGATAGCAGTTTTGTTTCGGAGACTTCCCCACCGTACCCGAGCCACCCCTACCCCTTCATCACATTCGGAAGATCTATGTAAAATCATCATAACATGGATTTGATAGATATTCTACTGTATATTCAAGCCATTAAAGGGATGATGTGACGTGAATAGCAAAGACACGGGAACGCGCAACGGGCCGATCTTTTCATCATATGTTTCGAGCCTTAGGCACGTTCACTCCATACAATCCTATAAGAACCAAGCTGTAGAACTGCTTGCTTGATGTATCACGGGTCAAAGTTTAGTTACTGGCTCAAACTCAATACATAATCTCAACATGTTTTACAAATTTTCCCTGTTCCTCATTTTCAATGCTCTATTCTGGACCATCAATGCCAAACATAAAAAGTCATATTACTCCAAAGAAGATCTTCCAACATTGACCCTCCCATGGGGTACATATAGGGCGGAACTTTACGGAGAAGACGGAGAGGTCAGTGATTGTTATATTACTTATGCATTACCCTCTTTATATCCGGCTGAGTTTTGTTCTCACTGACACCTTGACACAACCAGACTGTTCGATTTTCAAACGTTCGATTTGCTAAACCCCCTGTTGGCCCTCTCCGCTTTGCAGCTCCTCAATACCCTGATGCCATCAAAAACAACAAGGAAATTCAAGACAGCAGTGTCGGCGACAACTGTATCCAAGCCTTTCCTCCTTCTAAAAATTCAAATGTTACTGCCGAGCCTCCACCAGAAGGTAACCAAAGTGAAGACTGTCTTTTCCTCGATGTCTACGTCCCACTTTGGGCTTTGGAGGAGAGTAATGAGGAACAGCTCCCTGTTATTGTCTACATCTATGGCGGAGCCTACATATTCGGTGGAAAAAATACAACATTCAATATACCAGAACCTTACTCTGCATATGACGGAAAAGGCATTCGTAGAATTACCGACAATAGTGTCATCTGGGTGACGGGAAATTACCGACTCGGAGCATTTGGCTTCTTGGGTGGTTCTTACATGGAACAAAATGCTCAACCTAATGCAGGTCTGCATGATCAGCGTCTGCTTTTGGACTGGGTTCAAAAATACATCGGTCAAGTCAAAGGCGACAAAAATGCTGTCAGTGTCTGGGGGCTTTCTGCTGGTGGAGGATCAATTCTCCATCACCTTATTGCCTATGGTGGTGCCAAGAAAGAATCTCTTTTCCAAAAGGCCGCCATCTGGAGTCCATCATTTCAGTGGTCGTATGATCGAGCAGGTGTTTTGCAAGAAACCTTCTCCAACTTCGCAACCGAAGCAAACTGCGCTGACGAAGATGCTCTCGAGTGCTTAAGAGATGCTGATGCAGAGACTCTGAAAGTAGCTAATCAAAATGTTGTCAATCAACGCTTGAAATTGGGATTATTTCCATTCGGACCCGCTGTTGACGGAGATCTAGTGCCAGACCTCCCAGCGAATTTATTCAAGCAAGGTACACAGATTTCTACGAAACTGCTTTCATTTCCTGCTATAATTTTCCAATTTACTGATAGAACATCACTAATCATGAATCTCAGGCAAACACGTTAGCACTGAATCTTTAATAATTTCTCACGTATACGACGAGGCGAGGCTCTTCGCTAACAAGGAAATTAAAACCGAAGCCGAGTTCACAAATTTTGTCACTCTCGCTTTCCCGGGTGATGAACTAGCAGAAGTGAGGCAGAATATCGAGGACAAATACCCATCTAGTTCATACGATAATGACCAACAGACGCGTCTCAGAGCAGTGTTAAGCGACTCGACGTTCGTTTGTAACAACTATCAGATTTACCAGGCATACAAGAAGAAGTCCAAAGTCTATGCCACGCGGTACGAGGTTCCACCGGCTCAACACGGTACTGATTTGCTTCCTGTCATTTGGGACGAGGAGGTCGACGTCGCCGGCCTTATTAAAGCGATCCTTCCTTGGCTCCCTGTCTGGATCTCCAATGTCCTCGAGAGTATATGGGTGCCTTTAGCTTCGAGATACCAAAAGTACTTTGCTGCTCATGCACTGACTGGTGATCCAAACTATCTCAATGGTGGCCGGGGACTCACATGGGAAGTAACAACTGACGATGGTAAAGAGTTGACAAACGCACTGAAGGTCGGTCTACAGTATTTCAATCCTAACCATCCATTCTATACTCTTGGATCTGATGGTCAGGTGGCCGCGGCGAGCTGCGATTTCTGGAGCGATCTCGCAGAAAAGATCATGATCATCACCGGTAATGAGAAGAAGCCGACGAGCTTCAGGACTCAGTTTTATGAGCGCTTATGGGGTGGTCAAATTGAATTGTAATCACCACAAGAATGAGGGGTTGAGAAAGCTGGAATGGGGAAGATGGAAGTGAGGATGAGGTAGGATGGGATTTGTCACTTCATTTCTCTAATATATGACGGGTGAATGTTTCTTCTTGCAATCATGGCAAATTTGAAACAATGAAAAATGCTCTGCTCTGACTATCTGTGCGGAACTTGCAGTGAAATAGCTACAACTGAGTTGATTGAAATATCGAGAAACCAACAGGACTATTTGGCTGAAAAGTTGCTAGGGTGACACTGCTGCAATACTTTCCGAGCCCGTGATGTCTTTCACTTTTATTGCATGACTATGAGCTTGATAGTCTGACCTCGAGGTTCCATTCAATCTCAAGGTAAGCTTACTAGATAGCCCAGGTCTAAAAAGAAGTATCGAAAAAAACAAAGCGAAAACAACTACAAGTGCTCTGCTGTACAAGGATCGGCTGACGGGAGGAGGCAAGGCAATGTCACTGGAGGCGGCTAGTCTAGAACTATAGTGAATTAACATCGTAGAACGAAATATCTATTGAGCATGTAAGGAATGTCACTATCAAAATGAAAACATGAGACTCCTAACAATTCCGCTTTGTGGCAGCTCATGCAAGGTTGACATCATGTTTCTCAATGTCTGACCTTGAATTGTCTCACGTATGTACATCAAGTACATGCCCTTACTTTTCCATCCAAATATTGACGTCATTAGACATCACCTACTTTCCTACCACCACGTTTGTGAAGCATTGGTTCATCCTCATCTACTCACCTCAATCCTGATCCTACGGCCCTTATATTGCCCAGCTCTCAAAGGGTCTGACATCCCGAATCTAAAATTCAGTCGTGAGAGCCCATCCTCCCCAATCTCTCTCATTTGAACCCTTCCCTTTCAGAGATAGAATATAAATGAAACGATAAAAATGCCTCTCTGGTACAAGCTTTCAGATCGACATATATCCTATCGCAGCGTTGTACTGAGCATTGACAATGGAGTACAGAACTGGGTGAAAGCTTAGAAAGATGTCGAAAACAAGAGGACATAGCAGCAACGGCTTGTGTTGACTTAGAAAGGAACCTTTACTTCGGCGCTCACCTCAATTCAAAAACTGAAGCCCGCACGGTTTTGTAAAGATGTGATGATGCAGGTTTATGAAAATTTTCTCGATGAGTATAAACATATGTTAACTTTAGCGTATCCACTAGTTACTGTGCTATCCCGCCTAGCATTGGCATTGGTCGATACCGTGGTCAGTTTTTGGGAAACCTTTTCCTGTTAGCATGAGAATGTGTGGGATAAATCGTAAAGTCTGAGGATAAAAATAGACTCCCTCCTTATTAAATGAAGAACATCAATCCCCAAAAGATTTAAGCTTGATTTGAGTGTGATCTTCCCGTGCCTATTGAAAATCTAGAGGATTCGGGTCTGATCTATACTGTGGGATATAGAACTTCAGACATGCAACAAAAACCATGTTATTCAAATACACATTGAACACTAGGGTAGACTATTCTGAACTAGATGACGGACCGATATCAAGTGTATATCTCAGTACAGTATAAGAATATAACTTCGAGACTATGAACTTTCTAAACTGTAGTTCGGTTGTTGTTCAATATCGGCAGTGAGAGATGGCTCGGAGCCAGACCAGAGCGGTCTTAATCCACTTATCTTGGGACCCTGGAATGCTTTTAGAACTCAAGCTTGATCTTTGTTGTCCTCAGAATCAAGATTTCTTTGTTCTTATTGTATCTCGATTGAAAAGAATCCTCAACCCTCAAAGAATCCTCGGTGACAAATAAAGACTTGGTGAAATGGATATCACTCTCACAAAGGAGTGCCTGAACAATGGCATTGTCAACTTCGACTTCCCCCTGAAATAACTTTCAATATGTCTGAACTAAAATTGAACAATCTCAACTACCTGTGTATATATATCGACCTCATATCTACTCATACTTATTCTCATCAGTTCCATAGTTCTTTACTTACTACCACATCTACCACATCTACCACATCTTTCCAGCTCTTCACAAGATTCCAAACACAACGAAATCCAGACCCCAAACAGACAAACCAGCAACCGCCAGAATGTCTTCCAGATTCTGGAGCCACTCACCCTTAGATGAAGAAGAACGCGCTCGTCGCGCCAATCTCTCCAACGCCGAACGCCAATCGGAAGCCCGCGCCGCCCGCGAAGCTTACGATCAAGCTCAATCCGACTCTCGCAGCGAGACATGGTGTCAAGAATCTCCCCCCCGGAGATCTCGAACCCATCGATCCAACGCGCAAGCTCCCCCTCCCTCCTCCTCCTCCGGAAACCCGCAGTTCTTCCAAGGTAGCCCTCAAGCCAAGAGCGCCAAGCAACAGAAACAAGAGCAAAAAGCCCAGCGAGCCGCCGACAAGAAACATCGACAAGAAGCTCGTCGCACAGCCGAAGAGGAAGCGCGCAAGGAGAAGAAACATTTCGAAAACATGACCCAGTGGGAATATGCCAAGAAATGGAGTACCTCCGATCGGGCCGCCTACGGCCACGCATTCGATGACTTCGCTGCTTCGGCAACGGCATTTATCACGGACAACACGCGAGAATTTCCTCGTTTCGAGAAATATGGTTGTGCGCGAAACAACTGTATTCGAGGAGAGATTCTTGGGGTGTGTCATCACGAGGTCGAGATGACACTTCGAGGAAGTGGAGTTTTCGATGAGAAGATGATGAAGAGGGAGAGGTTGAGGTGGCATCCGGATAGATGGACTGGAAAGGGAGATTTGCAGATCAAGGCAAATGAACTTTTCCAGCTCATCCAGAGAATCATCGATGGTGATGTTAAAGCATGATTGCTCTGCAATTGTGTATTAACGGATCCGGAAGTGAGAATTCGGTGAGAGAACGGAGAGAAGAGAAGTGGTTGAGCTGATCTCGCTACTAGAGAATCGAAGACAGGTGAGAAAACGAGTAAGCAATAGCTGAGCTGGTCTCGCTACCCACATTCCTTTATAATCTTTCATTTGTTGAAATAGATTTCATTGTTTCCTTTGTCATTTATCGGATACAGGTTTCCTTATTCCCTTTGTCTCTCTATCAACTATCAGCAACTCGAAATAAAAAATAAAAAACATTCATATGTAAACAGAACAGAAATCCCATTTATGCCAATTGTGACTCTCGAACCTTGACCTGATTTAAGAATGAAGTAATACTACCTATTACCATGAAAAGAACCTACTTGTAGCCATCAAGACATTCAGTATACACCGCAATCCCTCAAACACCAACCCCTCACCACTGCAAGATCCCAAACCCCAGATCCCAGATCCCAAACCCCAAACCTCGTCCTCAGGATCCATAAAAAAACAGACTCCCATCACGAACTCCCACATGGATGCTCAACCAACCAGACTCTACCTATATCCAAGACTCACACCCTCACAACCTCACACCCTCACACCCTCACAACCTCACACCCCCACTATCCTCTCCCCTCCTCCTCCCCTCCTCCAAACTCACAAAACCCTTACATCTACACTCAAAACACAGCGCCTCACACCCCCATACCTCTTGCAACCCACCGCTATACATACATACATACATACATACATACTTCTCAACTCCCTTTGCACATCCATCCACCATCCATCCACCTATTCCGAAGTCTCCCGCAGCTCAACGGACAACATAAGAAATTTCGTGTTTCTCTCTGCATCGTTATCAAAACTTCTGGATTAGGCTTTCAGTATGGAAGTCCTCGATAATATTTATTGCTTAATGCCCTACTCACTTGAGCAGCACAGACAGATCAACATAGGTGTGGACGTGAATGAAAGGGGCATCTCAATTTCTCAATGTTTTTCAGATTCATACTAGGTACTTATCTACTCACTGTCTATACTACCTGATACCCACTAACTTCAATTCCACTCCTACTCTCACTCCCATGTCCCGTCCCTCTCCCTCTCATCTTCCTTTCTCATTTTCCTGCCTCTCGTTCCCTCTCCTTCCATCCCTCCCTTCCATCCCTCCCTTCAACTCCAATCAAGCTGCCTACCTGACCCTGACCTCCAATCGCCACATTATAAGATGCAAAAATATCGCTCACATTCGCATTCGCATTTGTGATAGCTGTAATTGTAGTCGCTATGGATCCTTGAAGCAATGCTGAGCATAAGGTATCAACCAGTTCGAAATTATCCATTCTCTCCCCCAAGCCCCTTCCTCCCTGATCTTCAGAAATTCCCCTTCAATCCAAATCACAACACTTCCACATTCTCCTTCACTTCTACCACAGAATCTCCCCTCGTGCCCATGCATCCCCACTTAGCCATCCAATATCGCATCTTTGAAAATCGCTTTGGGGAATCAAAACAAGAAACACAAAAAGAGTAAACCACCCCTTATGCCACAATGACGGCATAAAACAAAGATAGAATTATTAAGAAATTTGCTCTGTGAGAGTGTGTGGGAAATTCATAAAATTCGTCATCAATCCTTTTTTCTCGCTATCCCCCCACCTCTCCCCCTCACCCCACCCACCATCTTCATCTGATCCCTCCTCTCCCTGACTACCACATCAATGAAATTTAATGTTGTATCGCGTGCCCAGCACAAATTCCGGATCTCAATAAAAAATTAGTGCAGATGGAAAAGTTTCAACAAGTAATTATGAATTTCTTTGATGATGTGTTTATCCACGAATGAATGAAATGAAGAAGAAAAAAAGTTGGCGATCGCTCAGACCTAGTCTTTAAGTCAAGTATGAATCCATCAGCTCCATAAACGCCATAAAACTTGCTTGCTTGTATGCTTAGCTCAATTTACACAGGAAAGAAAAGGGAAAAAACTCCGTATTGGTGAAGAGAACGAATTCCACATCCGTTCTCAAAAATTTTTACATGATGACGCAACAACCACAACCTTTGCTTGACTCAGGAGAATCTTGAACACGAATTGGTGGTTTAGGATCTGGGATATTAACACCTTGCGGTTTTCCAGTTGCGATTTTTGGCAT